CTCGCTTGAGGTGGTGGTGGGCTCCAGATCCGGCAGTGTAGTCGAAAGCGACTCGCTTGAGGTGGTGGTGGGGTCCAGATCTGGTGGTGTAGTAGAAAGCGACTCGCTTGAGGTCGATGTGGGCTCCAAATCCGGCAGTGTAGTAGAAAGCGACTCACTTGAGGTGGTGGTGGGCTCCAGATCCGGCAGTGTAGTAGAAAGCGACTCGCTTGAGGTGGAAGTGGGGTCCAGATCTGGTAGTGTAGTAGAAAGCGACTCGCTTGAGGTCGATGTGGGCTCCAAATCCGGCAGTGTTGTTGAGATTGACTCGCTCAGAGTAGTCGACGTGGGCTCAGCTACAGGAGACGTGGTAATTGTCACGATACTTGTAGTTGTGCTTGGGTCGACAACTTCGCTCGTCACCGAAGGGACACTTGTAGTACTGCCGTCGGTGGTGCTACTGCTTGCTCCTGAATCATCGATGACGAAGCCTGGGCCGGGATCTGGGGTGATCGAATCGGTGCCATACGATACATCGTCTCCAGGATCTGGGAATACGACTTCTCGTTGTTCAATGGTGGTACATCCGTTGCCCACATTGCACACAAACATGTCGGGTAGTTGGGTGAGAGGAGAATATTGTCGCTTCCAGCTCATGTCGCGCTTGTATCTCTGGCTCGGGTTGTTGATGACCTTGACGCGAGCGCAATTTTGATACATCTCCCTGTTACCAACGATGTTGAACCAGGACCAGGAGAATAGAACCGTTTCCGAGGAGGGAGCATTACTGGGGATGGTGAAGCTATATGAGTTAGACAGAGGACAGCCTCCGATAATGGACTTGATGACTTTGAAACTGTGTCCGTTGTCGTACGAGAGAGATAGCTGACAAGATCCCCCCATGTGAGATGCGGTTCCTGCCACGGACATCTGATATGTGCCACCTGCGACATATGTCGCTTTGATGCCATAAGAATCATCGTCCAGCTGGTAGTGTTTGCACGCAAAGTTGGAGCCATCGCTAAACAAAGGGGAGGTCATATCATAATCTTTCTCGTACCATGGAAGATCAGGATCAAGAGGACTTCGAATAGGGTAAGGCGAGCTCATCTGCATATGGGCTTGAGTGCAGATGGGAAGCCATGTCAATAGTGATGTGAATAACAGAGCTGGGGTTAAAATATCAAACATATCGGGGAATTAGTCAAGTGAAGGGGAGAGGCGTAACAGTATGGGAGTTTGAGAAAGGGTTCAGAGGTAGGTTTAGGATGCTGCTGGAAAATTGGATAGAGCAGTTCTTTGCTCTCGGCGCAGAGGGTGAAGCTTTTTGGGAGAGAGGAGACGGGGGGGAATGAAGATGATGAATAGATGGCCAGGATAAACCTGTAGACAATAGTTGTAAAGTAGATTGCTCGAACAGAGGCTCGAGATACTCTGAAAGGTGCAAGTAGATGAATTGAGCCCATCTCGTTCCTGAGCGCAGAATTCTCATTTTTGAATGCTCTTCGCTCAACAGTGGTACGTCAACAGCCACGCAGAGTAACGCTCCTTTCGAAAACTTGGTAGTGGTGGGTGTTCTCGACGCTCGTCCACTTGTTGGTATGGATACAAAGTTCAAAGTGGCTTTTGAGAGCTGGAGAGGATCTGATATTGGCACGTGCGCCAAGTGGAACGCAACGGTGTCTCCAGTCGGGGAATTTCTGTCTCAAGCTTGGACAGACCAATGACTTGCTTCAGCCTCCACAAGGCACTTCCGTCCGAGCTTCCAGAGCCTGGAAACTCCCCGTAAGGTTGTTTGCCCGGGTGATGAATGCGCTAATATTTGGTCCAGAGAAGCTTGGTTTCTCTCCACATCTGCATCATGAAGCCTTGGGTGAGACCAAGAATTGATCATCGTGGCCAGGTCGTTGATGCGAGGCTGTATTCCATGATCTGATATCCTTTAGGCAGACAGGCTCCCAGAGCAATCACAAGCTGTAGGCTCAGTGAGATGCACGCCGCTGCTTTGCTGTTGGGAAACCTGAGAACCTTTGTAGACTAGGCCACAGATGTCAGGCTGTTTCACAACGGTACATAAACCCACGGCAAATCTCTTGTGAGCCAGTCTTTTCTTTTCCAGGGCCATTCATTCATTATTATAGATTCGTCAACCTTTGTTCGAGCTGAAGGCCCACTTGTACTGCCCGTCCAGTCACTTCGTGGCACCGTCATCATCGATTACTCAAAACCTCTGCCAGCGTACATGTTCATCCAACGCGCCCAGGCCAAATATAATGGAACCTGTGTCAGTAGCTCACAAAGGGTATGATCATCGTGGCAGCCGAAAAGTCGGGGCTCTGTCGGCGGCATCTAGTGCGCTGGATACACTCATGTTGTGCGAAAGTCGTCAAGCTGCGTTTGACGAGAGACAGGGAACCTGTCTAAACACCCCACCCTGCCACAAGACAATATAGCATGTAGAGTTGATAATTATCAATGACTTGTAGGGACGCGTGAGCGTTTCAAGGATCCAGTAGCCATGTAAGTGCACGGTTCACGGATTGATATATATGGATATATATACATCATATGCGTTGGTCAGGCGACCATGTGCTCAGCCGCTGAGTAAGGCGGATCCATCCCGCGGCTTTGAACATATTATGGCTCTAAGCATTCATCATTTCCACCTGACACGTCAACGCAAATTGGGATCTTCTGGATGTAGAAGACATATACTCCAGTTTGGCATGCACTGTCGAACGCTGCGAGTTGACTTGTCCCATGCTGCCCATTTTGCACGCATCTCTTTGCGTTCGACATGGTTGACAGAATGGTCGGTCCAGGCAGAATTTCGGCCAGCAGTCAACAGGGGTCCCAACCAGCGATAAATGACAATGATGAGCCAAACCTGTCGCCTGCCCGAGGCATCGGGAGACAGACTTTCTTTTGCCTGAAACATAAACTGTGTTTTGCAACCCCGTGTGTAGCATGTACCTTTGCATTTCGGAGCGTTTCTGACTTCGACAAACTCTCTTTTGTTCTCATTAATACAGGGTGGCCCTTTGACTCCTGGGGGTAAGCGCTGAGTGTTGATACATGCTCGGCAAAACTTGCTTAGTATATAAGGGTCGCCGAGTTTGAGATGTGGACAAAGTCTGAAATCGATCGACTGAAGGGCTGCCGATACCGACTTTACCTGGAAGATTTCCTTGTACATGCCACTGCCCCCGGTTGTCCGAACATTGTACAAAGGAGAGGGGGCTTGCAAAATACCAATTTTGGAAATCAAAAGCGACTCGGCCTTGGGATGCTCCAAATCCGTTGACGATGTACCCTTTTCTGGCCTGTCGGCTACCGACCGATTTCGGATCGAGTTCCTGCAACGTGAGCATGGCTCCAAAGTTTCCACACGAAATGGTGCCTCTACTCCGGCCTTGATTGCGTTGATGCTCTTCTGAAAGCCTAGATATCGGTGTGCACATAGCCAGACTTGTCGACAATCTCTTAAATCTGGCGCTTGCCTGATCTCTGCAGATGGAAAGGTAGAGCGAATATGGAGCTCGCGGCAACTACCACAGACGAGCTTGTCCAACTCTTGTGGATCTTGATCGCGTTCAGTCATCTGTATAGATCTGATTAGAAAGGACACTCAAAAAAGGGTCAACGCTGGTATGGCAGGAGTCGTGCTTGGGGTGGGACAAGAAAGACTGACGCAAAGAAACTCAAAAAGGTCCTGCCCCGTCAAAAGGAATGACTGAGTGCTGTATAGATGCAGAAATCTCGAGCAGGTCTGCCGCAACGCGACTTCGGCGCTAAGGCAGAGATATGGGAGCAAGGCCATGAGCATCTCAGTCGGAAGGGACAGAATTCCAGACTCGACATTGTTTAACACCGTCCTCTCCGAATAACCGGTTTTAACTGATGGTGTTGCCAGCGGCGGGGTATTAGGGTTCAAGTTGGTGTCCTCAGCAAATGCGAGTTTTGTCACCAGCTGTTCATCAGATGGTGATAAGGTCAGAGGATTGCGCGGCCATGATGGGGGAATCGTGGCGAGAACAACATCATCGTCGCCGTTGTCATCTCCACCCTCCAAAGGATGATTGGCACTCTTGGAACGTTGGAGCTTTCTCCGCATCCGCTCGAGAATAGGCATTGTGAGTCGCGGCAACAAGCCAAGCAAGTCTTGAACGTAGGAAGAGTTTGGCTTAATAATAATTAAAGATGGTGGAGTGTAGAGTTGAGTCACCGAGACAGACCATTCTCCATCGAGCTTCTAAGAACACATTCGTCATTTCCAGAGAGGGACAAGAGACATTGACACCGGGTAGAATAGAGGGGCAATTCACAAATTGCCGTCAGAGGTGAATGGGAATATGATGTTGATATTCTTAGGTTGTGGTGTGTCTGGGACGAGTGGGGTCGGCGTCATCATTGACAGGAAGATATGGGAGAGCATTCCTCCCGAATTCCGGCCTTTGCCAGGCCGATTGAACGTCGTGCTTACCAGAGCCAAAGCATGGGAACCAGGTAGGCGGATTCTAGACGAGTTACAAGCGTCAACTCCATCGAGATCTGGGAAGCCCAAGATTTGATTCTGTCCACGGCCAACACGCTATGAGGAGTTGGTACTTGGGCTCCTATGGTGCCTATGGTGCCTAGATAGATAGGCCGAGGCGGGCCCGCCTCGGCCCTTCGGGCATGAGAATAGGCGTGGGGATACCTAAAACTCTAGGCCCTCGGGCCCTATGGCTGTTAGACTACGTCTAGAAGTGATGACTAAGCTAGTATCTCATTAGAATTGTGAGCGCCTTGGTAGTCACGTGCTGTGTGTGCGAAGAGTCACTCCCGATGCACACGTACAGCACCTGACCTTGATCTGTCAATGTATGGCGTAACACATCCAGGCACACAGGGTCCAGGTCAGCCAGTGATGTGAGAGTGCAGGGTCCGGAGCTCGACTCGCGGGCGACATCTGAGGTGAGAGAGACCACGATCGGTTACACCTTATATCAATCCAATCGCGTCTTTAAAGCTGACGGATCGATAGAGTTTTGGCAGGGGCCGTGAAACAGGTCTCCTGGTGCATGGCAAAGCTAACTTGTGGAATGCTGGTGGTATGTATCTACAGTACAGCTTTAACCTTTCCTGGAAACAATCAAGCTTTGAACTCAACATCGTGGCCCCCGCGTCGTCCTGGTGGCCGTGGTAGAGGAAGATGGGGAGGAGGCTGTCAAACCCCGACGAGTTCAAGGTCGCCAGTGCGAAGGACCAGACACTGGTATTGCCGAAATGACGGAAAGAGTTCTTCCATGCATCTCTCAAGTGCCAAACAGCTGCCATTGCCGCCCGAGAGCTTGTCGGGCCAGAAGACTTTCCTTCAGAAGCTGATAACAACATGTCATCGTGGTTTTCCGGTCCATCGAAGGTGGTCTGACTCCTCGATTGATCCTTGACTCGTCCCTGTTCTTTGTTACTCATGTCCTGCATTGGATATTCGTCTGCTTCATCATCCTCGTCAGTGGGAGGTTCGTGTAGTGGCTGGTACTTTGTTCGACTCGTACCAAACAAGTTATCCTTAACTCAATGTCAATATCTCGTGATGCAATAAGTTTCGAATGGCAAGGTAAACTCACAGACAACAACGTCCAAGCAAGGTATGTCCCAACCAGAAAAAAAGTTCCGATATAAAGGTTTGGTAACATAAACGGATACGTGTGAAAGATACTGCCTTCAGCGAGCTGTTTGGATGCATGACTCAAGAAGCCCGCAAAAACAGGTCCAAGAATGAAACCAGCTCCAGCGGCTGCTGGCAACAGTTGAGGCACGACCTCAGACACAAAGGTCCTCAACACCCCAACATTGCCAGCGGAAATTCTGGCTAGGCTGGTACAGAGAAAGGTTTGCCACAGCCTCTGGCTAAATCCAAAGCCGAGAGTCGAAGAGAAACCCGGGACGAGACCAGATGAAACGTAACATGGTGTACAGATATATTCATGTGGTAACATACCAACATATCGACAGATTTGTCGAACCTGGTCACGTGACTCAGTCACGCCTTTCGCATACACCGGCCATCCTTCTTCCCTCGTTCGGTTGACATCGATTGATTGCAGTCGGTGCAAAAGGCTGCGTCTCGGGCCGTAGGTGTGGTTAGATTCGTAGCAGGCGAGTCAAATAACCCATCGAAAAGTGGTATCATCTCTTCTAACTTTGCGGGTGACGACAAGTCATGCCTAATCAAATGGCTTCAAGGTAAGCGGGAAGACATTCGAAAGTCGAATTCGACTGAGTTTAGTTTTTTGCTATATAATATAGAAGAACTACTTAAATGAGGTATAGACTATCGAGTCTATCTAATCTATCAGCCTCATACGGTCTTCCCGACAACTCCACGGCTCGCTGCCTTGATGTTCGTATCTATCGCTTCGCTTTTAATTGCCAGACCTCTTCCATAAAGAGACGAGCTAATTTTGAGCATTCCTGGTCTCCGGGCGGAACTACTTATACTGTGAGTAAGCCTGCAGCTCCGCGAGATCGATTTGCAAACCAGATCAGATTCGGATATCCGCCCCACGACATTGAGCCTTGCCTCAAGTGTCCAAAATCGCGTTCCACGATCATGGCTCCTAGGCCAAAGTTAATACCCTCAGGGAGCTCAGGAGTCCCTGTCATGGCTTGGAGCATTCCTGAAGACGAACAGAGTCCATTATAGGCCGCCGAACCTTGTCCGAATTGACTCGTGAACATTAGCTCCATCGTTTCCTTCTTCAACAGCATTCATGGGGTTAGACTCGCATGATGCATTAGCTGTCATATATGAATTGTGAGGACCAGAAAAAACCCTGGCGGGTCCATGGTCTGACGGTGCATGTCTGATGTCACATCTGCATTGCCTTTCTTTCTATCTCGTCAAAACTGGAGCCTCAGGCCTCAACACTGTTCATGGGGTGTACAACGGCCAAAGTTAGGTATGAAAAAAAGGTAAATGCGGCGCCAAATGTTCACTTCGTTTTGGGACGGGGAATATGTGCCGAGTCACTAATTTAGGCTTCTGTATCGCACCCACGGCGCGAAGTGCCTCAAAATAGACCATATCATGCCATAACATTTCTGTTGCCGTTGCTTACTTTGGCTTTAGGTCTGTCAAGTGAGACGAATCGTTGTTTAGAAATACCAGCACTACATGGGGACTCCATTCAACAGAACCTGCAGCGCCAGCGGATGTCGGATCTGTTCAGCTCCTGCGATCAACTCGTCGACATCCCAGTTGACCCACACGAACTTTCCCTTGAGAAATTCGGCTTCAGGACTCGCAAGCCAGACATGGAAGTGGGCCGGCAGATTGACTAGAGAATCAGCAGGTTAGTACGTGTACGTTGATCAAGGTCGAGCACCGCAATGTACGAATCACGCGTGGCGGCGTACTTACTATCATCCTGGCCACGAAACTCTGTATGGGCGTTGATCTCGGTGTCGATGACTCCTGGCTGGGTTGAGACAACATGCAACGCTGGGTTCTCTGCTTGCAGAAACTGAAACAGCTTGGTGTTGGCCGCGTGAGTCGCCGCATAAGCCCAGACCCCTGGCAGAAAAGGACTGATATGGCCAATCCCCGAGCTGACCTCGATGACCTTGGCTTGGGGACTGAGGTGAGGCAAAACGCTCTGCACAGCGTTGAATGTGCCCAACATGTTGGACTCGAGCGTCCTCCGGTACTCATCCTCCTTATACCCAGCGACAGGCCCCAGGTCTGGCAGAATGCCGGCGTTGTTGATGTAGATGTCAACAGTTCCACCAGCTTGCTGAGCTGCCGTCCCAAAGGCCTTTTCCACCGCTGCTCGATCCCTCAGATCTACCGAGACGGGAATGGTAGTCACGGCACTATTGACCTTTTTTATTTCTTGAGCCGCTGACTCTAGCTTGTTCACTCGTCGCCCAAAGATGGCAATGGCCATGGCTCCTGCTTCCGCAAAGGCAAGAGCCGTGGATTTCCCAATCCCGCTGCCGCCACCCGTGATGAAGACAACTTTGCCATGGGCACTTAGTTCTGGTCGCGACGGAGAAATTTTCGGATACGGTTTGGTGTGCCACGTTTCTGTGAGGGATTTGAACATTCCATTGCCTGGGTGGCCTTCTGTCTCAAACTGCTTGATTGTCATGTCTACAAGTGTCGTTTGGTTGAAGAAACCCTCGAGAGATGATTTGTATTGGCAGGATTTTGGTGGTTGGCTCTGATGGCGGGCGTTGAATGGATGTCTGAGAGTGAGTGTATCGAAGAGTGTTATTCTTCGTTGGAACGAGCTTCTAACTGATATTTATAAGGATGTGATTTGAAATGATACTGTCCTCGGAAGACGTTGCGTCAGTAGTCCGACATGACGGATGGTGCAAGATGAGACAGGACGTGGCGGGGCAGGGAGGAGTAAGGTAGAGATGGCCCAGTTCTGGCTGTCTGCCATGATATGATCTCTGCTTTTGTTATGGAGAAATTTTGTCTCCTATAACCGTCAGTGATGCGCGCGAACGCCGCATGCGGCGTATTGGCAAAGCCCGCTCGAAGTTCCGCGGAACCTCTCCCCGCTGATGACTATAGCACACTGTACCAATGGCATGAATGTTAGTAATATTGGTAAAGAACGGAACTCGGTATCTGGAGACAATGGAGGAGGTTTAGTTTTGTCTCCATCGAGTCAGGACAACACGCTATCTACAAGTTCTCCACTCTAGTCGAGGAGAATGGGTTGTCTTCGTTTTTCTACAAGATATGCCTACCTACCATGGTCTCTTCGGCCATCATGAATCTCTCGTCGATTTCTCAACCTGAAATCCCCGTTGTGGCTAAATTGTGTCTGTCACGGGCGTCACCAGCTCGACCAAGGTGACGCGAAACTTGGCGGAGGGGCGAGGGGGTGGTTAGTTGTAAATGGATCTACACAGAGACAACATGGGCACATCCAGCGAGCAAATCAGGGTACCAGTTTTGCACAAGGTAGTAATAGAATTTACTTACTTGCGCAATTACTGGCTGAATGAGCTGATTCTGTTGTATTCATGTAACCTGCATTTTGCTTTTGTGATGTGCGTCTTGGAATTATCTCGAAGTGCCTTCCACAAATGCCATGTCAGAATGCCATGGCTCTTTCCTGCTTTACCTGCAAATTGCACATAGAGCATCTAGTGCCCACCGGATGATCGAAGTAGAGATAACATTAGAGACCACGCATGCAACTCCTCCATTTTTCAAGTTCGCCTCTCGTGATTTCTTAAGATTCCCATTAAAGTCCCAACACATAACACATTATGTTCCTCCTCCCCTTAAATTCACAGTAGCAGGAAGAAACTCTGTTCTGCCAGACCAGACGAGTTTGAAGAACTCGTGTCAAAGTCATCTAGTTTCTGGATTTTCCCTCATCACTCATTGGAATGTCAACCGTCAGGCGCTCGATCGACGCGTCCCGTCGCGTGCACAGAGACTGTTCTTGGCATCACAAAAAGTCCATGACGTATTATGAGAAGCATATCCAGCATACACAGTAGGTCATCGACAGAAAGTTTTATGGTGACAGGATCTGTGAAATTTCCAAGTATAATGGATCTTTGTTTTCGATTTGCTTGTCAGAAGTTATCATGCTACTAGCTGCAGAAACAATTTGAATCCCTCGAATGATCAGTCTTTCTTTTTTGCAATCCGTCGACAGAGCATTGTCTAAAACTGCCTTGAATGCTCGATCCCTTACCCTTCCACCCAATCTTGATCTCTGCAAGGTACATGAGATACAGTCGAGGCTACGCCGCAACCTCACCCGATATTATTCCTTCCAGATGGCCAAGCGCAAAAGGCCTGAGGTCAATGCCGCTGCAGGTGCCGCACAGGTACTGCAGGGAGTGTCATCCAGCCTCGCCTCATTGAACGCTGCCATATCTCCTTCCACGACATCTCGACGTACCAGCTCTCGACGAGCTTCTCACCTAATTCCAACCAATGTCGACACCAATCCCAACACAAATGAAAAGATCGAGGACGGAAGAAGTGCTCTTCGAGCCTCGCCGGACGCTGAGCAACTCGAACTGCAAAGGCCTCGTGGAGGGAAGCGAGGTAGAAAGTCCAATCCTGTTGACCCCGTGAAGGGACGAGTGAAGGAGGACGAGAATGTTCCCGTGGAAGATGTGAAGATGAAACCACGAAAGAGCCTGTCGCCAAAGCCACAACTCCCCAACAATGACGGGCTTGACAGAGAAGACCCGGAGGCAGGTGATGGCGGCGACGGTGAGGAGGCGAATCCTGAAGAGCTCAAAGAAGCCTTGTCACGGCCTCCCCCCGTCAACAGTGCATATTTGCCTCTCCCTTGGAAAGGCCGCTTAGGCTATGCCTGCCTGAACACCTACCTTCGCACTGCTAACCCTCCAGTCTTTTCCTCACGTACCTGCCGGATCGCTTCTATCCTAGAGCATCGTCATCCTTTAACAGATCCCTCTCTGCCAGAGCATGCAACCAAGAATCGCCCTGACAAAACTCAGCCGGCAGATGTGGCACGTGGGCAAGCATACGTCGAAGCCCTCGGCGTGGCCAATGCCCGTGACATTGTCAAGATGCTGCGTTGGAACGATAGATATGGCATCAAGTTTCTCCGGTTGTCTTCCGAGATGTTCCCCTTTGCCTCTCATGATGTTTACGGGTACAAACTTGCACCATTTGCCTCTGAAGTATTGAAAGAGGCCGGACGAGTCGCCGGTGAATTAGGCCATCGTCTAACCACCCACCCCGGACAGTTTACACAGCTGGGCTCTCCACGCAAGGAGGTGATTACGGCATCCATCCGCGACCTGGAGTATCATTGCGAGTTGCTGGACCTTCTCAAGCTCCCGGAGCAGCAAGATCGTGACGCCGTGATGATATTGCATATGGGCGGCGTGTTTGGTGACAAGAGTGCCACCATTGCGAGGTTCAAGGAAAACTATCTCGCTTTACCTCAAGGTGTCAAGAACCGACTCGTTCTCGAAAACGACGACGTATGCTACAGTGTGCACGATCTGCTACCCGTCTGTGAGGACTTGAACATTCCTCTCGTCCTGGACTTTCACCATCACAACATTATATTTGACCAAGACAACATACGCGAGGGCACTCTTGACATCATGGAGCTTTTCCCCCGAATCAAGGCGACCTGGGACCGGAAAAGAATCACACAAAAAATGCATTACTCCGAGCCAACGCCATCCGCAATCACCGGTCGTCAGCGCAGGAAACACAATCCTCGGGTTGCCACTCTCCCGCCATGTGCACCGGACATGGATCTCATGATCGAGGCCAAAGACAAGGAACAAGCTGTCTTCGAGCTCATGCGGACTTTTAAGCTCCCTGGGTTCAATACCTTCAGTGACATCCTACCCCATATTCGCAACGACGAGAACAAACCCTGGAAACCACCGGCGAAAACCAAGAAGGCTGCGTCCAAGAAGAAAAACAAGAGTACAGATGCTGAGGACGAAATCAAAGTCGAAGAGGACGAACCCCAACCACCACCAATTATCCCAGACGACGAAGTCGCGATGGGAGGTCCAGAGGGCCGGGTATATTGGCCACCAGGCATGGAAGAATGGCTTCGCCCCAAGAAACGAGAAGTCAAGCCACGCGATCCGATGAAAGCCAAAAGCACGGCTGAGCGTGCGGCGGCAAAGCGAGCAGAAAAGGCCGAATGGCAAGCAAGACAAGAAGCCGCAAACAACGAGACCGACGTCTCCCTCGGAGCGTCATCACAGGCGAGTCCTGCACAAATCCAGAATAAATCAGCACTTGATATGGCGGCGACCAAATCAGTATATCAAGTGGCCAAGGACGGAGGACCCAAACGCAAGCCCGCACGGGCTCCCAAGTCAAAGGGAAGAAAGAGTGCTGTCTTGACTCCAAGCGCCAGCAGCGACGCAGAGATGGGAGAAGAAGAAGACCAGGATGACGAAGATGAAGATCTGTCTATGCCTGATCTTACTGACGCTGAACCGATGGAAAAGCCTACGACAAAGAGACCAGGGAAACGACCACTCGCGTCACGTGCTTCAAGTGGTCGCCTCGCTAAGAAACAGATGGTCAACTATGCTGATGCGGATGATGACGACGAGTAGTGATATTTATTCTAGCCCAGCTCGCCTCAGTTTTCGTACTATGTCCTTTGGTAATTACCTTTACTTCCAGTATGTAGGTAGTACAGATTATACTCCCAGTACCGTGTTTTGGGTATTGGCTTTCAGGTTCATCGTTCGGAAATCGGCACGAGGCCAGTGGCTCGGCAAATGCTACTTAGCACGACAGATAGTGTGTCGCATCGCATCACATTACTCCGTACATACTAAACTAGGTGTACAGCCAGATTCTTGGTGAACTACCTACAAAAGTACCCAAGGTATCAATCATGTAGATAATATACTTTGACTAGCAAGTTCCTTCAGAGAAGGCCTTTTGAAACATGCAACTTGAGTGCCGTTGATTCGAGGTCTATATGGGGATGAAACACTTTTAACAATTCAACAAAATACTATACACAGCACTACAAAGCAAACTCAAGCCCTCCCAACCCTGATGCCTTCCTTACCCAGTCACGCCAGTCACACGGAACGTGCAAGTTGAAAGTTGAAACCGATTATTGAAAATCAGCCCCGCAGGAAACTGCAGTCCTTACAAGGTCAAGGAAGGTCCATGCACGAGAGAATGAATTATTGATGCACGCTTGGACGCCGTGTGCATGGTTTAGGGCTTGGAAAAGCGTAGGAGCCGTGGAGGCGTAAGGAGGCGTGAGACCTGAGGCTGATGAGGGGCGTTCGAGCTACCAGACCGAAGGAACGAAGGTAACATTAATATTAAGATTTCCCTATACGTGGGGATGTAGGTAAGCACGATTAACTAGGTTGTTAATCGATAGGTCCTATGGTAGGTGGATAGATACCTCAGGTACCTATCGACAATACGGAGTACAGCGCAGTTGGATACTGTATGTGTTGTAGTGCCCATACGGAGCATCATCTACTCCGTACTCCATACACATACTCCATACAGATTCGAAACATTTGGAAGCTTGGCTTGGCTGCCACGTACTCCACAGGCTAAGGCAGGTACAGGTTACGCTATGGTGGTGGCGCGTTCGAAGGAGGCGCGTTGACTAACAAGGCCGAAGCGAAACCAAACCAAACCAAACCACGAGGCAAGGCAAGGAAAGGAAAGAGCTCACACCCAAGTGCTTACCTACTTATCTACGGAGCACTTGACAAGACAGATTCAAGTATGAGAATCAAGACAATGGATTCCATATCTGTGTTGTTGTCTAGACTGTACTCCGTAGTGTTTGTTGTGTCGAGACTCCCGTGCGTCTGTCTACCTGTCCCCAAGCGCGGCCCGTTACTGTCTCTGCGCGGCTGTCAATGATCTGATTGACAGATCTTGGGGTAAAAGAGAAGATTATACAAGATACATGACCAACATACAGGTATTTCTTGTCTAGGTAATAATTGCTTGAGCGTTTGTTTTGTCTGATAAATCTCTGTCTGTCAATCGGTCAATCGGATTCCATGGGCATGGTGTGATGGGCTTGAGGTGGCACTGTGGATGGTCGGCCATTGACAAAATGTAAGATTACACTCGTACGACCACTATTTTACTACCACTGTACCTGGCAACGGACTTGTGACAAACGACTGCATTGGTAATGATATACGACAATCACCAGCGTGGACTACCTTAGCTGTTTTCATCGCATCGGTTTCTTGCAGTTAATTACTATTATTGTGGTCAGGATTCAGCTTCATCTCCAATCTCGCTGGTGCGAGTGCTTAGCGTGCCACGCGTGCGTAGTCTTCGGGTCTTGATTTCGATCCTGACGGCCAAGACGGGGCCTGAAGGAGGCTCCTCGGGCGAGGGGTGCCCCAAAGTTGCTGTTTGGAGAAGCCTCTATTGGTTCAAACCAATCACGGTGGCGCCGTCCGAGCTCCTTTCTTCCCTTGTCTGCCATGCCTGGCTCTCAAAATGGCCCCCCGAAAGACAGATTGGGCTGAAGGAGTTTGCCAAGTGCCGCCCAAACCTCCAACAAAGGGGGTTCGAGATTGTCTCTAGTGCGCCGCACTGGGCCACTTGTTCGGATCGCCCAAACGTAATTTCACACCCAGGTACGCCCAGATGGCAAGGTGAGTTTCGATGCAAAAGAGCCTTTCTATACTTTGATCATTTCTTCTCATCTTCTCGTTCGAGCTGAGACCTGTCAACTCAATCGTGTCAATACCACATTCATTTCAACAACCTTCGTCACTCTCTTTCATCATCTTTTTCCTACACTTCTTGTTGCACTTCTCCATCGACAGTATCTCGAAATGGCAATCATGAAGAACCTCATGCTCGTCGCGACACTCGCCAGTGTTGTCGTCGCCCAGTCATCCGGTGTTGTGGACGTCTTCTTCCCTGGTGCCGACGGTCAGACCTTCATCGGCTCCGTCATCACCTCGGTAAGCTCTCGCTCAACCTCTGGTTCTCTGCTGTAGGCTGATTAAACTAATTTGTGATGCTGTTCAGGATGCCTCCCAAACCACTCTGGCTGTGACCTGCCCAACAGACACGAGCGGTTCCAGTTCCGATCTCGACTGTGGCTTCGATGAGCCCATCACGGTGACTGTGGGACCCTCGACATTCCATGCCGAGGAGTCATTCGAGGGAATCACCGCCATCCTCGAGTGTAGCTTGGATGGCACTACGTCCGCAGTCTGCGCCGAGACTTACATCGGTCCTGCTTACCTGATTGACGCCGACGTGAATGATTTGACTGCGAGCGATGCGACCACCGACACTTCGCTCATTACCACATCCACCTCCACCAGCCTGACTGGCACTGACGTCGTCTTCATTCCCGTCACCTTGGTCAGTGATTTGGAGGGTCCTGCCGAGACTGGCGCTGGTGCCACTACATCGACTGCTTCGCAGACTGGCACCACCGCCAGCAGCAGTGGCTCTGGCACAACGGCCACCACCGGCACAACCGGCACAACCTCAGCAACGAGTTCTTCGACAGGATCCGCGACTGGCGCGGACGCAGCTGCCACAACCTCAAGCGGAAATGGAGCTGGTCGCGCGGATGGCAGCATGTTGACTTTGTCTGGATTTGGCGCTGGTCTTTTGGGTCTGGCTGCACTCATTTTGTAGATGTGGGGTGGAGCGACCTGTCGATCTCGAAGGAAGTACTCAAGGGACAATGGTGCTAAACCCGAAGCAGTCAGTGATGGAGGATGAAGAAACCGGATTTGGATGAAGATGATAGCGTCAAGGATGACGCGGTGGAGTTTTGGTAGATTTTCCTCGGATATGACATCCAAGTGGCAACCGAGCAATCCATGCACAATGACATCGTGGACATCAGGTGACCTGTCTACTCCTCCAAAGTCTCAAATGTGCTTGTAGATTTTGTTTCGCCGAGAAGTAGTTTTTATGTATATTCATCCGGGCAAGCTGTCTTTCGACTCGGTGGAGTTTGTTTTGTGGCCAATTTCAGACTTGGTCCACTCGAAAGATTTCTCCCGGGCACACAGAATGTGACAAGCAACACCATGGTCTCCTCCTAGAGCCTCAGGGTCCGTGTTATATACTTGAATTCAAAGCAGGGCATTAGGTGGACGCCAGATAAGAATGTGGAGGCTCAAGGCTCTGGCCGAAAGCAATGGTGGCAATGGCATGGGGCCAGGAATGATGAAGGCCCAGATTGATACCACGAGAGAGTGCTTCTTCGGAGGCCTGATCCGTGAGGTGGGCTGAAGATTGCTGATTCGACGGCCTGAGGGACCCGATGTGGCGCAGGCTCATGGGACTTTGAAGAATTGCATACTGGAGAGGGGAGGATCGGCCACAGGATCGCCGATGACGAGGCGGGTCTACGATGGTGAACGCTAGTTGAAAGCACGATGTGCCGTCCATCAGCTCGATCCGAAACTCAAGTCAATGTGAGACGAGTGACATGTTGTTCCCACTACAAACGAGTTGAAAGGCATGTAGCTTTTCTGATCGCTGCCTGCCGCAAGATGCCGCTGCCATCTTCCTGGATGCCAACGTCTCCAGGTCCCCCACTCACGAAGCGCCGGGCCTCAATTCTCACCTATTATTCCAACCATCGAGAACCATCGAGTCTAAGCTTGTGGGCACCGGCTTTGGCGATCGAATGGGTCTCACACCCAAGGCCAGGAACCTGGCACTGTGGCACTCTAGCACAGTGGACTGGTAAACAATTCCGTCATTATTGTCCTCAAACATGCAACATCTCATTCTTGTGTTGGGCTCGAGCCTGCCCCGCAACAAACGGCAGTACTCCTCAGGCGGGTGCATGGGCATGGGCATGGGTTGCACTTGCACTTTGCACTTGCGGCGTCTACTCAGGAACTCTGTTCCTTCCCAAGTTTCTCAAGCTTCCCCCAACGTAGCAAAGCGCGTCCCCGGTCGCGATTGCATTACTGCTTTTGCATGCATTTCCGTGCCTTCCCCATGCCACCATGCCACCATGCCTCCTTCCTTGGGTGGGCCATTGAACATTTCATCCTGCTTCCTCCATCCTGCTTCCATGCGTCTCTGCTTCAGGCCCTCGCCCAGTTTCCTGACTTTTGTCGCAGCCACCAGCCAATCCAAAAGCCTGCTGTTTGAGTCAATTACTCCGGTCCATGCGTGCCACTACTGTGACCGACTTCTTGACTTCTTGTTCCATGCTTTGAACCTTCTAGCAATATCCATTGCCCCCGCTTGTCTAGCTTTACCTTTTCAGTCTCTCGACTTGACAAGGTCACCTAGGCCGTTTTGGCCACTCTAGATCTACGATCGACCTAGTGAAGCATATCTGCTGATTCCCTCCCTCCTGACCACGCTTCCTCTTCTACTAGATCCTAGTACCTTTTTTACAACCTCGACTCTGTTTCTTTGCAATTGTCCTCACCGTGGACCATACCAGTAGTATTGTCCAGAAAGACGACCACGTTCAGATACCCCTCACTTGTCACCGTTGGGCACCATCCGCCCTTTGTGACTTGATAATCACACGCTACAGACGTTGGTGTCACCCTTGCCACTTTACCTCCGGACAAAATTATCATATTCTTCCACAATGACCACATTCACTTCGCGGTCTGGCCCATCATCGGGCATACCCAGTGTCAGCGACCTCGACGGGTATACAATTCGAGACTATCAGTTCCCTACAAACTATGGACCCACACAGGATGACGACTTTGGTTTTGACCCCCCAGACATGAAGGCCGCGGTCATGGCGCCATACCAGCCTTGTAGCCCCCCTCATGATCCTACCATGTCCAACTGGCCAGAGTTTAATCGCGACGATATCGCAGAGACGACAGAGCCCCACGTCAACTTGGATAGTTTCGAATTCGACCAGTTTTTGAACTCAAGCCAGATACCCACTTCAGAGACTGCCTTGTCACGGTTTGGTCAGATTACACCACCGCGTTCCAGCTCAGCCGTGAGCTCCAAAGACACTGAAAAAGCACTTTCGCCCAAGACGACTACAGGCACCACGGAACGGAAAAAGACCAAGACACAAGCCAAGGATATCAATGTGCAATCTAAAACGGCGTCCAAGCCTGGCCGTAAGAGAAAGTCAACCCGCAAAGCATCACTAGCCTCGGAGCAAGACGATCACCAGGACGATTCGAAAAGGAAACAATCACTGGAGAAGAACAGACTGGCAGCGGCAAAGTGTCGAGTCAACAAGAAGGAGAAGACAGAGTTACTGCAACGCGATTCTCACGAGAAAGCGGTGGAAAATGCCTATCTGAAGGATCAAGTGATGCGAATGAAGGATGAAATCCAGCAGATGAATGCTATCCTCCTAGCTCATGCCAACTGCGAAGGTTGCAAGTCCCCCGAAGGAGTGCAGGCCCATCTCAGTCAGCTCGGTAACGACTTTTTCCAGAACCAGCGCGTCGACCTCGCCCCTCCCAATTACCTCAATTATCCGCAAATGAATTTTACCGATCTACCCATGATGCAGGACAACTTTTTTGCCAGCGCCTCACAGGGACAGATGCTGCACCCGCCCCTTCCAGATTTTGATCGGTCTGCCGATTTCGAAGTTCATACCCCAATGGATCACAGCCCTTGATCCGCTCTTACTGCTCAGGACAGATTTTCTATGGCCACCACAAATTATGCAATATGCACGGACAGGTGTCCACACTTGATTTTACAGCGAGGAACAGCGCACGCTATCGTCAAATGGGTTCCAAACAACAAACCCCTTTACTCTGTACCATATGACAAAAGAGTATACCTTGCCTCTGTCACCAGCGGCTTTCACATCCGTATGCTCAGACTTACTCGGTCCAATCAATACCATTGATTGCAGCACATGTCGCACAGACATTTCCGTACGCTGGCGAACACAGAAGGCACTTCGTTTGAATGAGGTTGTGTGGCGGGCAAATTATTGAGCTCGGACTCTACAAACGACAATTATCCTAAGAGTGTGGTTGACTTGGACAATGGTGCAGTGCGGCCGATGAGCAAATGTGGTCGGCTGATTGTCGAAAAGAGAAGAGCTGAGGACGACATGGAATTGATCATAGCAATTCTACTACTGGCCCTAGCACTGTCGATCATTCTGGGACGCCGGGTCAAACCTCCGGTGAGGAGGTCCTGGAGGTCAGGTGTAGGTGCACCGGCCAATGGGCAAGGAAAATGGTACCGCGGGTGCGTGGACCAATACTGCAATCAACGGTTACCAGATGCTTAGGCCACATGTGGTTATGAAACCCTGATGCTTACATGCAGCATCAAGAATGTCTTAACAATTCATAAATGCCCGTGCAATGATATGACATATGACTACACATATTCCGTGCTTTACGCACAATCCTCGTGCTTTTTCTTTAGGAGGGTTGAAAATCAATCTTGGGTATGGAGCATGAACTAGTTTCATCCAAAGTCAGCGATTGTAACGCCTGAATCGACGCCGGAGAAGATTTCCAAACCTTCGTGGCCACGTCTCCAGTGGTGATGGTTGGGTGTGAATCTGTGGCTGTGCGGATTGTGTGGATGGTGCAAATCAGCGATTGGCAGCGATTGGCAGCGATTGGGCAGTTGAAGAGGGGAAGAGACACGGCCTGCGGGTTGCGGTTACGGGCTACGAGGGGCACAGAGGGCCGAGAGGGGTAAACACGTACATACCTAGGTACCTAGCCTACCAGGTAGGTGCCTAGCTAAAGTCAATAATATCTGATCACGCCTAACTGTCTAAGTATTAGGTAAGATACCTAGAGTAGGTACTGCCTATTAGGCTGCTATTTGCCCCAGGTACTCGTATCCCTCCCTCCCCCAACTCCCCTCTTCGGCGTAGCCTGTCGAGCTGTAACTCGTAATCGTCCTCCCCCTGTGCCTCCTCCGTAGGTGGGTACTAGGTATTAACCTCAAGCCTGCCGAGCTAGCCTTGAAGCAGAAGAAATGTATATCTGTGTGTCTGTGCGTGCCACCTTTTTTTCCATCCGTGCCGCCTGTGCCGCAAGACAACGATTTGCTAGGATATGGTCCGAAGAGTCCGAGACTGACCTTTTGTCTTTTCTTGACTCAATGTCAGACGCCACTTCAATGAATTTGTCTTTTTTGTCCTCGCATGCCACCCACCATGCTTTGCTTGCCTAGGCACGCTATGCCAGGCTTCCATCCCATGTTCGTATACTTTGTTCTGGCCATTCGAACTTTGTTTCGTCAACAGGAAGGCCCCTGGTCGCGCTGTCAGTTGATCATATCACGTTATTCGACTACTTAGCCACGTGATCAATTTGGGAACGTGATTGTGGTTGTGTCTGTGTCTGTCTGTAGGAAATGAACCTTTGCGCAGTGTACGGAGTACGTGTACTCGTCGAACCTTGTTGTCATCCTCTTCTGACTAAAGTGTAATAAACTTCTTCTTGATTCCGGTTCAGAAACTCTGGTGATCTTGTGCGAACAAATGATTACTCGAGGATATGCACATGAGTACCTAGTATACTGAGGAAGTATACTCCTTTCGTGAGTATGAGTCGTTGACCAGTAGATGAGATGAGCAGATTGAATGTTTGCAACTTTCAAACCGCGCGGTTAATATCCGAATGTATCTTTTTTGCCCTGCATAAAGGCATGCAGTACAATCCATAGGTACCTAGTACTAGTACTATCTTATTCGCAACATCTCCGAGAACCAGCCGTGCCATACTTATACTACGGGATATACCTATGCATTAACCTCAACGACCTATCCATCCCTTGAATATGCATATACTCCACGGAGAAATCCACTGTCAACATACCATTAACACTACTCCGTAATGTCAGATCCTATACATGCATGAACCAAGCCTTTTCTCGAACCTGGTTCCTGAAGCTGAAAGTAGAGCCTAGCGAATCATAGACCTGTTCCTGAAAAACGGTCTTTTCTTATAGTGGTTGAAATCAAAACGTCATCGCTATTATTGTTGTTGCGATTGTTATGGTTAACGTTGTATCCACAACTCGAAAAGGGGAACGCCAATGCATGCCTACTCCGTAAGTTCAAGTTCATATGGTTGGACCATAGGGCATGTATAGAACCTAAAAGACCCTGCGTAGAGTACTGAATGCATGATGGACACCATAGACACTCCTTTTCGTATAGTAGCACGAAGCACGAAGCCCGTAGCACGTACCACGAGCTGTAAGTATCTAGTATTCTGGAACCTTTGGAACCTCATGCACTTGTTCCATGCAGGGTCTTGAGAGTTGAGTCTTGAGTCCTAGCTCCTGACAGACTTCTCTGTCCTTCTCTGTCAGGGTCCTCTTCGCTTGCTTTTACTGGAGGACCAGATGAATCTCAGAAAGCGTGTCGGTAGGTCGGCGATACTTGTATGTTTACAATAACAATCACAATATTCATATACTTAAATGTAATGTTTAGAGTTGATCCACAACAAAAACAAGTTTTAATCATGCATCATTCGATCCATGGGTCTATAAATTCCATTCTCCACCATAACTAACACAATAAGGTGAAAGGTGGGTCTTGAATAGATACACCTACATGATGTATGTACAATCGACATGTGATTGATGAATACAACTTTTACACCAAGAGATACGCTAGCTTCTCTCTTCCCCCCAACGAGCTCGCGCTGATCAAATCAGGTCAATGACCCCAACATGACCCAACAGGGCTTCCGGACTGGAGGCCGAGTAATCAACACCTCGCTCGGACTTCAAGCATGTCCATTGATGGCACCAGCACCCAGCGCCTGCAACTCATCCCTGAAGGTCCTGTAGTCGTCTTGAGCCTCTCTTTCTCTTCGGCTGACGAACCCGACTTCATCGCGTAGTTGTTCCAGCCGCATCAACAGACCACCTTCCTCGCCCACCTGCAGTGACCTGAACCCTTCCAGCTCAGCCCGCTGTTCCGCAATCTGCTCATACACCGATAATGCCTTGTTCTTGAGTGTGCGCTGTCGTGACAGATATCCGGCATGATGGAGTGCGAGTTTCTTCTCCAACGCGTTGCCTTTCTCGGCTGAGGTGACTAGATTTTCCTGAACCGATTTGCATGTTCGAGCCAGCTCGTCTCGTCCAGTCATCATCTCGATTCGAGAGGGAAGAGCACCGACCTCGTTTTCCGCGCTGTGTAGGGCTTGTACCGCGTCGACGTACGCCATACGCTCTTCTTCTTTGGATTCAGCGGCAAGTTCTGCACGTGCTTGTGCTAGCAACTCATCCGATAATTTTTCCACTTCCCCTGCTTTGCCAGTGACACGAGATCCTGGTAAGGGGAATTTACGGGCGTCGTTGGCCATGAGCAGTATTGCCTCTTGTGCGATCAAGGCCTGGATTGGGTCCGTGATCGAAATGGCTTCAGCTGCCAATCGGTTGTAGTCGACGATCACGGGACGGGGCAGCGACCGCTTGTACACCTGAGTCTGTCGTTGGAAATCGGCCGCCGCGGCAGCCTCTGCTGCAGCCTGCTTGCGTCGATCAATCTCCTCCTGGTCTTCCCTCTCGTGTTGTGCTTGTGCTGTGGCTTCTTCCTGCTCCGATGGTAACACTTCCAGTTCCCATTCATTCTCTTTGGGTCTGGGTAACGAGGCTAGCTTTGCTCGAAGGGCCTGACGGGTGGCATTTTCTGCTAGGCGAACATCTCGTGGGGTTTGTGCAACCAACTGCCGCTCGCCCTTTTCGTTCAAAACGAGATTATCTCGAGGCGTCCTGAGCGGTGTCGCACTTGGACCACCAGCTCCAGCTTGTCGGAAAGGAGTAGCCATCGGATTAGGGGTGACCATGTCATGTCTTCTTGGGGCAATGCCCTCAAAGCCAGTTGACGCAGGACCTTCGTGCAAGGGTGTGTTTTCTCCACCCAGTAGAGACGATTGTGTTTCCGTCAGCGCTCTAATGTTTCTGATCTCGTTGGCAATGTGATCCTCTTGTGGAGGCGCCCGTGGGGTGCGAATAGGAGTTGCGCCAACTGTGTTGGAATAATTGGGAATGAAGCCTCGACCATCTTCGTCGTCTTCACCAGCAGCCTTAATCGCCCGATCTCCTGACATGCCCATCTTGACAATTTCTTCCAACTCTGCCTCGCTGACTTGAGGTGCAGGAAGGTTTAATGCTCTTCGTTTGCTTTGCTGCTCAGCCTCACGAATGCGCTGCATCTGGCCAGCCTTTGCGGCCGCGTTCATGGCTGCTGAGGGCTTGTTCTTGTCTTGCTTCTGTCTCTTGGCGTCAAGGCTATCCTCTGAATCCCCTTGTCTCTTCCTGGCAAGCTGTTGTTTTCGAGGATCGAACATCTCCCGCTCTCGCTCATTCTTGGCTTCCTCTTCTAGAGTATCATAGAATCCAGCCGCTGCTTGCTTTTCGAATGGGATGTCCGCATTGTAGTCCATCTCTCCGGTCTTCCGCGTCGAAATCTTGATATTGATGCCTGCATTCTTGAGTTCTCTTCGCTTCTGTAATACAGCCAGCCGCCGGGACTCCTCCAGCTGCCGTTCACGAGCTTTCCGCTTTGCCTTTTTTCCTTGTGTGTTTGCTAGACGAGCGCGGGCTTCGCTCAACATTTCCTTCTCATCTTCATCCATGTCAATCGTGTCGGGTTTGGCAGGTTTAGACTCTGGATCAGGGTCCAGTTCGCCGGGACGCAGTCGCCTCACCAGGTCTCCTGTAGGGGCTGAGGTCTCGCCTCCTTCTGGGCCACCAAGGCCGAGCTCATCGTTTTCCCTCGCCTCGGCTTCATCGAGAAGTTTTTGATATCGTTCGAGACATTGGGTTGCGGTTCGACCGACGATGGGAGCGATGGTGCGCCATTGCGTGGGCATAAGTTTCGCAAGATGTAAGAGCTTCTCATCCTCCTCCTTTGACCATTCAATTTTGCGGATGCCTGGGTCTAGCCATTCGTTCCATCGGGCTTTGCACTGTTTGGGAGTTTTGCGAGCAAGCAACGATGAGACCCGCGCCCACTGGTTCAGACCATATTTGGACACTGACGCCTTGAGGATTTCATCCTCAATGTTCGTCCAAACGCCGCCCTTGACGACGGGCATGATGGCGGTATGGAGGGCTGTGTGAAGAAAGATTTGACTTGGTGGTCGCTTTGACGTCCAGGTTGCCGCAGATTGAAATTATGAGAAGCAGCAAACTGCCTCCGGAGCGGAAAATCTTGGCGCCGATGACTAACTGACACGTGAAGAAATCCGTCTGATCCTCTGTCACATTTTCAATTACTCACCACTCAAACAACATGCTTGGAACTGATTGTCATAACCATGAACTTCAGAAGTAAGAATCTATGAAGCTGTACTGACCGTCTTGCAGATACGTGACCACACAAGATTCATGATTCTTGAGCCCAGTTCTCTTACGACTGGTCACTACACGTAGGTCGTATGCTACCTTTCCCTCAAGGTTACCTTGAATAACCATCCGTGAGAATATTAAAAGTGCCATGGAAGCCTTCTGGCCCTTTGAAACAGTCTCTCTGCCATACTACGACTACAACCAGCCAGATGCCTTCGAAGTGATCCCATCTTGGACAAAATGAGAAATCTAACCAATCAGTTTACGCCTTTCACTATCCTCGGAACTGACACTAAGAACATCGACGAGGGCTATCAGCATGCGAGTCCCTTTCTGAAATACTGGGATATGTTCTAAGTCGTCGATTGAGCCGATTTTTACTGCAATCCACAGTCCAATCCCCGGCCCGTGGACGTGCAGCTCGCTTGTGGGAGCCGCCCGTCCAAGGCCAACCAATATTTACCGCAGAGACTCCCACAAGCCACACCCGGCCCCTAAACATTATATGTCAAAGATGAAGTTAAGGGAAGAGTCAAAAGGGCTCTTATGATTGTGTTCACTTCAGTCACCAATAGCCCAACCGCGATTTCTCAGTCTCTCATTGAAGCTCTTTGTAGAGTTCTGTCTTCGTTCGTTTCATCGCAGTATGGGCGATGCCACAGCACTGCCAGTGCCTCCAGCGGCGACCTCGCCTACTTGGAAAAATCCCCTTGATCAACCGGCCGCGTTCCAGCCACATCGCAAGCTTAAGATTGTGACAGTCGGAGCCGGATTTTCTGCCCTAATATTTGCTCATAAACTCCAACATGAACATCCAGAGTTCCAAGACCTCGTGACACACAAGATCTTCGAATCAAGAGATGATATTGGTGGCACCTGGCTAGTGAATCGTTATCCAGGAGTACAATGTGATGTGCCTGCCCACGTCTACGTATGTCCTTTCCTGCAGACCCAGTATACAAGTCTAACAGCTCCAGGCCTTTCCATTCGATCCGAACCCTGACTGGAGTCATTTCTATGCTACTGGACCGGAAATACACGCCTATATCAAGCAGACAGCGAAGAAATGGGATCTTGAGCGAGATATCCACCTTAACCACAAAGTCGTTGAAGCCGTCTGGCAAGAAGACCTTGGACAGTGGAAGATCACAGTAGAGACCGAGGGCAGAACTTTTATTGAATATGCAGATTTTCTGATCTCGGGTCAGGGCGTGCTCAAGTACGTCCGAGACACCCCCTGACTGCCCCCTATACTAACAACTTACTTCACAGCAACTGGAAATGGCCCAATATCCAAGGACTCTCCGACTTCAAGGGCTACAAATGCCATTCGGCGGCCTGGGACGAGACCTTTGACTGTTCTGGAAAGACTGTCGCTGTCATTGGCAACGGGTCGTCCGGTGTGCAGATCGTGCCCAAGGTTGCTGATCTACCGGATACCAAGGTGATTAGTTTTCAAAGGAGTCCCAACTACGTCTACTCTCACGTCACCCCTTCGAAACTCCTTGGCCGGGATGATGGTTTGACAAACCCTGCATACACTGAAGACGATAAAAAGCGCTTCTGTGAAGACAAGGCATTCCACCGCGAGTATCGACGAAAGATCATTCATAGCAGCAATTCCATGTTTAAAATGGTAGGTTCTGGCATGTGAGTCATTCATGAGCAGAAGCTCTAACAACGCATAGTTTGTGAAAGGCTCACCCGAAAATCGTAAAGTCTCGGAAAGCGGACGTCTTCAGATGGCAGAAAAGTTGCACGGGGATCCAGAGCTCTGCTCCAAGCTTATACCAACCTGGGGAGTGGGCTGTCGTCGAATCACCCCTGCAGAGGGGTATCTGGAGGCATTCTCCAAACCAAATGTTCAATTAGTGTTCAACACTGTCACGCGAGCGACCGAAGACTCAGTGGTTACGGCAGATGGCCAGTCATACAAAGTGGACGTCATCGCCTGCGCAACCGGATTTGACGTGTCATGGAGACCTCAATGGCGCATGATTGGGAAAAATGGCGTCGACTTGGACCAACAATGGAAGATCGATCCGAGGGCATATATTTCGCTTGCAGCAGCCGATATGCCAAACTACTTCATCTTCCTCGGTCCGAATGCTGTTGCGACACATGGATCCTTGATCGAATCGATCAACTGGACTGCAGACTATATTTTGAAGTGGTTGAAGAAAGTCGCCACCGAGAATATCAAATCTATCGTCCCAAAGGCACCCGTTATTGACCAGTTGATTGAGAAAGGTAATAAGATTCACGATAAACTTGTTTGGACGGATAGTTGTACTAGTTGGTTCAAGCGAAACACCCAGAATGGAAGAGTCGTCGCCGGGTTTGCTGGGAGCGCCCTCTTGTTCCGCAAGTTACTACAAGAGATTCGCCCAGAGGACTTTGAGATCGAGTTCTGGTCAGACAACCAGTGGGATTTTCTAGGTAATGGGTTTACACAATACGAACTGGATCCAAGCAACGACTTGTCGTGGTACATAGAGAGGTGAGAATGGGAATATCTGTGGGGAGATGTGGAACATGGAATTTTGTTCGAGTTTCTACATACATTAGTCTTGCAACAATTGATGGTTCTTTTACAATACATTCGTAACTAGAGCAAGATGTATTAGGGTTGTGGTTGTGTAATCATATGGATTGAGAAAAAGGGTCTCAGCCTTGCCGGATGAGAAAACAAGGCTTCCTCGCCCATGATTGGACGCCTCGGCCGACGGACCGCGGCCACACCGGATTCGATATACTCTCACCACCCTTCAACAGAGATCTCTGCTACCGAGTTTCGTCTGGCTAATTCATTCCCATCTGGTTTCAGATTTGTTCCACGGTTCTCTGAGAGACGGTAAGAATGTACGAGTGCCAATTCCCGGAGCGCAGGGTCGTTTACCAACATGTTATGCTGTGGAGGTTGATTCCCGTTTCAAAATCCACTCAACTCTGTGACAGCAAAAGATCTGAAATCTTGCATTGCAGCTAGCCGATGAGGGGTGATTTCGTTGAGGTAGACCTTATCTTCAAGAACGGTTCGAAATGCAGCAAAGTTCTGGAACCTGACTAGCAGAATCAAGTCCCAGCTCTCCCCATGGTGTGGTCCAAGTGCCAGGTTTGTATGTGCTTGACCCAGGAAGACGAACTCGACCGCAGTGATACCAAGTTCCGCGGCTCGTGCCAGGAATGCGTCTTTGTAAATGAGGTATGCTTCGCGACCCGAAAGTTGCGCCTTGCCCGGGAAGTCTGGCGCATATTGTGCTGTTTCGTGGAATCTCATCATGTTGGTCAGTATATAGGGCTTGTCCGTCGGGATGACTTTCGCGGATTCGTTGAGATTGCCGATTTCGATTCCCTTTGAAGTCATTTTGGAGTAGGAATCGATGAAGTAAATAAACCTTGAATAGACGGACTGTGCAAGTCAACGATGCTGTACAGACAGGACAGACGCAATAATGCGTCCAGAATCCTCATTATATGCAACAGTCACAATTGGAGGCTTACGTTGCAATCATAAGCACAGGTTCACAGTCGGTCCGGCGGAGTTACCTATCTTTCATCGATGACAAAACCTGGATCATCAGTTCTCTCGAGGATGCGAACACTAGATCCACACGAAATAGTAGGATGCGTACCACGATGACATAGATGGCTTCTCGAGTTGCTGCATTGAGGCTCTTCTCGAGAGCGCATGACCCCTAAGCTTCATTAGTATGAACAATACTCGTATCGTCAGTGATACATCTTTCCTCGTTGGTGTTCCCTGGGGTGGCCGGGACAAGTTCAGATAAAGGTTTGGCGGTCCTAGACTACTGAAGCGCCGTAGAAGGTCTATGGTCACGTGATAATATGCCTACGGTGGACTATTGCGTGGCTATGTACAGCCCGCAATAAATTATTTCTCCAAATGAACTTTTTTGACATTGCGATAACCTCAGCCAACTGCGGTACCAATTTGTTCGTATAGGCCCATTACGAGGTCCCTTTTGGCAATACCATGGCTTCATCCACCGGTCCACCTCAGCAGCATAAGCAGCCATCAAGGAAAGGGAAAAAGGCATGGCGCAAAAATGTCGACATCACCCAAGTCCAACAAGGCCTCGACCAACTCCGAGAAGAAATCATTCAGGGCGGGCCAATAGCAGAGAGACCGTCTGAAGAGTTGTTCGCTCTTGACACCAAAGGTTCAGAAGATATCAAGAAGAAGTACAAACTACACAAGCCTTTGAAGGTGGACGAGATTCTGTCAAGACGGTCGGCGGTACCTGCAGTGGACTCACGCAAAAGACACTCCTCAGGAGTCACGGACGGTGTTATCGAGCCCTCTAGCAAGAGACAGAAACCTGATTGGGTCAGTAAAAAGGAAGTGCAGCGACTCAAAGCCGGTCTCAATGTCACCTCGAGGTTAAACACGGACAACATCGAGGAAGATGTCTCTGGCTTCGATCTGTGGGACGCACCAGCATCAGACCAGGCAGCTCAGGCGCCTTCAAGCGACCTTATTCCTAAGCCACGAGCCAAGGTGGCTCCTCGTACTTTAAGCAGGCCACCCATCGCACTGACTGCCAGTGGGAGGCCCGTTCAACCTGTCCCACAACCTGACGCAGGCACGAGTTACAATCCCGCATACGAAGATTGGGACGAACTCATCACCAAGGAAGGTGAGAAAGAAGTCAACGCAGAGCGTCTCCGATTAGAGAAAGCCCAAGCTGCTGCGGAACGGGAGGCAAGAGTGGCTGCACTGGCCGCGTTGCCCGAAACGAACACTGCTGAAGATGAAAGTGCCTGGGAAGGTTTTGAGACCGAGGACGATGAGGCTCAAGCACTGAGAAAGAAACGTCCGCAGAGAAAGACAATATCGCAGAGAAACAAAATCAAGCGACGGAAGCTGGCTGAGCAACTCGCCAAACACGAAAAGCGAATGGGTGATAAACAGAAACAGACGGAGGAGATGATTATGGCTCTGATCAAACAAGGCGAAAATCAGGAACTGAGTGACGTCCTCGCAGCACAGCAGGAGGCAGACGATGGTGATGATCGAGTACTAAGGCGGCGGAGACTGGGCAACACCACAATACTAGAGAAGCCTTTGGAATTGGTGTTGCCGGATGAATTACAGGAGTCTCTGCGCCGACTCAAGCCTGAGGGCAACCTGTTGAGCGACCGCTTCCGGAACTTGTTGGTGAATGGAAAGTTGGAAACACGAAAAGCGAATGTCCAACATAAGAGGGCTCAGAAGAAGTTGACCACCAAATGGAGCCATAAAGATTTTACGATCAAGGTATAGGGTTGTTAGACTATGGCTACTCGAGGATCTGGTTGAACTTCTTAGACACCACACTTCTATGGCTCTGCTAGATATTGATTCAGTTCCATACGAAATGATATGAGATGATGCAGACGAAGCCATTCATTCTATGTTTTGAATTTTCTGTCTACAAATGATCGAACAAATGATGCACATGGTGACATCCATGATGTTAGGGCCGTGCGGGCATTAATGATTGCGTGGGAGGGTCGATGGGTCTCTGTCAAGCCTCGGGCACATGTGTAGGGGCTTTAAGCACCACTTAGGCATCGAGACACGTGCACAGTAGGCATCTGGCAGAGAATTCTGGGGAAAGCTTTGTCAAGTGATCGCTAAATTAGGACTAATACCCTCTGTGGTCCCAGACCTATCGTGAGGTTTAAGGGCGATCGCGGACCTCAAAGTCCCAAGCCAAGACGCCCAAGGACCCTGTCAGCCCCCAAATCCCTCCAGAGTCAGAGTCCTGACGCAGCCGCAGACACAGACGCAACGCAGCTCCGGCCAAGTTGGAGATAGCGCCGCTTCCAACCTTCATCACATTATCATCCCTGGTGGCTTCAAGCAAACTCCTCGTTCCATCTCCATCTCATGGCCATGTCTTTGGCCCGAGATATATGATTCATACCTTTGCTACTACGCGCATGTCGCGACCCTAGTTACCAGGCCTTATCCGACCCCGGCTTCTCTATTTCGAACCCTCAGCACTGGGGTGTAACAGCCCATCATGTCGCTCTTTGGATCGTCGCCCACTGAATCCACCCCGATCAACTCCAAGTCCCTGTTCGGCGAAGAACCATCAAGGCCTGCCACCAACTCGTCCTTATTCGCAGATGACGGCGGCGATTCGCCCTGGTCCATGCCCACCCCAAAGAAGAATGCTCGCCAGAATCTCGTGAAGAACCTCCTCCCTGCGACCGATGTCCCAGATAGCTATGTTGATGCCTACGACGCCGTTATCAATGCCAATGAACGCACTGGGGTGGGTATTGGGTTGACTGGAATCAAGAACGTACTTGCCAGTAGTGGCCTCAGTGCGCAAGAGCAACAGAAGATACTCAACTTTGTCGTTCCTGGTGGCCAGGAAAGCGCAAATGGGGTTGGCAGGAGCGAGTTCAACGTGCTCCTTGCCCTCATCGGTCTCGGCCAGGAGGGTGAAGACCTCACTCTTGACAGCGTTGATGAGAGGAGAAGAAGTTAGTATCCATCACAGCTTGTATTCTGCCCATCCTGACTGACATTCGACAGAATTGCCTCATCCACGGATAGATTACATCGATAAACTGCAGTCCCATAGTCAACCTCCTGCTCCTCCCCCTCCACAGGCACGACCAACCCCGGCAAAACCAAAGCCCCGTCAAGATTCCTTCGGTGGCGATCCCACGTCGGACCCCTGGGCAAGCCCTTCAAATCTTCGAGACCCTCCGCCCTCCGCAGCTGCCCACACCATGCCCTCGAACGGCATTCCCGTTAACGTCGATAAGAGCGCGTCGAACGGCATTGTGCGCACGACAAGCAATTTCACCACTGGAGGTAGCAGTCCAAGTACCAACACTGGTTCTTCCCACGATAACTCGTCTGCTGGCGTTGGATCTGGCTGGAACACCTTCAATGGCAATTCCGGTGGCTTCTCTGAACAACCAACCCTGGGGGGAGGGTTTGGTGATCCAAACGACGGCCAACAACCAGACACGCCTGGTCACCGCCAATCCGGCTCTGCTTCCCAGAGTCTTACCATCCCTCCCGGCACTGGCGAGTCGGTTGTTGTAACCATGTTGCCCGAAAAAGAAGGCATATTCCTCTTTCAGCATCACAATTATGAAGTCAAGACGATCAGAAGAGGTAGCAGCGTCGTAAGGCGCTATAGCGACTTCGTATGGCTGTTGGATTGCCTACAAAAGCGGTACCCTTTCCGAAGGCTACCACTACTGCCCCCAAAGCGTGTCCAAGGTATGCACTCTTCTGGAGTTAGCTTTTCATAACTGATGCGACTTACAGTGAATGGTACTCACCTTGCAGCTGATGCAAGCACCTTCCTTGAAAAGCGAAGGCGTGGTCTCGTCAGATTCGCCAACAGCCTTGTTCAGCATCCAGTCCTGAGCCAGGAGACTTTGGTGGTCATGTTCTTGACTGTGCCTACGGTACGCTGCACATCAATCGTTTAGACCCCGCTCGGAGGCTGACTTGATCACCAGGAATTATCTGTTTGGAGAAAACAGGCAACCATCTCCGTTCAGGAGGAGTTCACCGGCAAATCCTTGCCCCCAACCTTAGAAGACAGCCTGCCCTCGAATCTCCCGGACCTTTTCGACCAAGTGCGTGTGGGTGTGAAACGGTCGTCCGAGATCTATATCAATCTCTGCGTCTTGTTGGAACGTCTTGTGAGACGTAATGAAGGGCTCGCGTCTGATAATGCCAAGTTCAGTCAGGCACTGAACGCTGTCGCTGAGAGCAGCCACGATACCTTCGCAATCGACAACAACGACGTGCCTTTGCTGAATGAAGGCATTCACGCCACGGCCAAGCATCTTTCAAACTCGCAAACACTTCTCGAGGATGAAGCCAAGGGGTGGGATACCGGCATCCTCGAAGATCTCAAGGCGCTTCGTGACAATTTCGTGTCGATGCGCGATATGTTTGATCGCAGAGATCGCTATTCCCGTGACAACATCCCTCAACTGGAAAGACGGATTGAAGCTTCAGAGAATAAGCTGCAGCAACTTCGACAGAAACCTCCGAACCTTGTCAAACCCGGCGAAATGGAAAAGGTCGAAAGCAGTATCATGTCGGACAAAGAGAGTATTGTTCAACAGTATGCTCGAGGCGTCTTCATCAAAGAGTGTGTCCGAGATGAAATTGTCACCTTCCAGAGCACAATATACGCCATCACTCGGCTTCATCAGGAATGGAGCCAAGAGCGAGTTAAATATGCTGAATTACAAGCGAGCAATTGGAGGAATCTAGTAGATCAGGTTGAGAGTATGCCTTTGGGAGAATGAATTGGTTTCTCCTCAGTCTGTACGGCGTTTTCAGCGACATGGGATGAAGAGACGGGCCTTTGCGAGCCCGCCTAATTTTCATAGCTTCAGGCGGAGTATATTTGTTGTGCAACGAGTGGCTAGAAAGCCATGAGCATCATAATTCTATATCACAAGTACAAGAAGCATTGAACAAAGAACTACTCGTACTGATCTGCACGTACCAGTTGGGGCCAAGATTGCTGGATTGCTGGATTGCTGGAGCGCAGACACATGCGAGGCTAGGCAGCCGCAACACAGACCGTCACGCCCGAATTTGGTCACTCAAAGCCTAACATTTGCCCCAAAACTCACTGCTTCCAGAGGCCAAGCCATCCCCAACTTCAGTTTCTTCAGGCGTGACCCATCACATCATCAACCACAAAATCTGCATTTCATCACCACATCACCATTTCATCTCCATAACTCATCTACGTCTAGAGAAGTTGTCGCATCGATCGTCCCATCACAATGGTGGGCGGCGATCATGGCAACGAGTCCAACGAGACACCTGAGCCCGTGATCAAGAGCTTTGCGACTCTGATGCAACTACAGTGAGTAATCCTGAAGCAATGATGCAGATTCCATCGTTCCAAAGCCCGCCTACTAATAATCTCATCGCAGAATCGGCGTCAAGGCATTTGTTGAAAAGGTATTTCCCGACCACGTCGCCAGCTTAAATTTTCTCACACCAGTCACGTGACATGAGCATCACGTTGAGTTTTTCATGCTCCCAACTGACATTAAGAACCACAGAATGGAGAATCGAGAAAGGCTGAAATCCTGTCAATCAAGCAAAGGAATGGGGCTTTGACTTTCTAGTAAGTCTTTAGGGTGGTTCTGGAAACTTGATTGTCTTTGGCGCCGAGTCTGACGGAGATGCAGTGTACACTATGTCGAGTTCAACAAGCGGCTCGATGGTAAGTCAATCGGAACTGATGTCCATCTGATAGACAAGTGAATACGTCCGACTAACACATGAGTTTCTCAGAGTGGGTGACGGCAGATCGTATCGATTTAACACAGGAAGTTGAGTGGCCGGCGCCAGAAAAGCCCGAGAAGAAGAAAACAACAGTGACAACTAAACAACCTTCCAAAGCCGCAACCTCTAAAGCCATTACGAACAACAAAGCAGGACGTCCACGTACCGAATCAAGACCGGGTTCCGCAACGCCAGACTTGCTGTCTTCGAAGGCAGGCAATGACAGAAAACGGCCGATACCAAGCAAAGCTGGTGGGAAGGAGAATCAAGAAGACGATGCCATCCTACCCGATGGAGATGCTAGTCTTATGACCACACAGGAAGGTACTCCTTTACCGGTCCCAAGTCGAGATGATGGCGTGTCCACCCCGATGGCGTCCACTGTTGCTGGCGACAACGACGTCGAGATGCAAGACGTCACCAAAACCGAAGAAAAGGTTGCTCCCATCATGGAGCCCGAAGAAGAGATTGAGAAACTCCGAACAGGCGGCAGTATGGTCCAACACCACGCTCAACTTCATCTTGTCCGAAATTTGAATAAGATTCAGATGGGCAAACACATTATCGAGCCCTGGTACTTTTCTCCCTACCCACAAGACTTCACCGACGTCGACCTGGTTTACATCGACGAATTCTGTCTCAGTTACTTCTCGAGCAAAAAGGCGTTTGAACGACATCGGAGGAAGTGCGAGCTGCGACACCCGCCGGGCAATGAGATTTACCGTGACGACTTTGTCAGTTTCTTCGAAGTGGACGGCCGAAGACAGAGGACCTGGTGTCGAAACCTGTGTCTCTTATCTAAGCTGTTCCTGGACCATAAAACCCTCTACTACGACGTGGACCCGTTCCTGTTCTACTGCATGGTCACGCGTGACGAACACGGATGTCACCTGGTGGGCTATTTCAGTAAAGAAAAGGAGTCGGCTGAGGGATACAATGTTGCATGTATTCTGACTCTTCCACAGTATCAAAGACAGGGTCTAGGTCGATTACTTATTGCCTTCTCGTACGAACTCAGCAAACGTGAGGGTAAGTTGGGCTCGCCCGAGAAGCCTCTCTCGGATCTTGGACTGCTCGGCTATCGACAATACTGGAAGGAAGTCTTGATCGAGCTTCTGTCAGACCCAAATCGGTTACCACCGCCAGGATCGGCAACACATACGCCGACGAGTGAGCACCTGCATCCGCATGCTAGCCTTTCCTTTTCCACGGGATCTGGGGGACAGTTCTCAACCAGTATTTCCGAGATTGCGACACTAACGGCTATGACGGAAAAGGATGTGCACGAGCAACTGGAGGTGTTGAAATTACTACGGTACCACAAAGGCGCATGGATCATCGTGGTTCGAGATGAATTACTCGAGTGGCAAGAGAAGAGAATCGCCAAGGAGAAATTGAAGGGAGCCCGGAGGATTGATGCATCCAAATTGAATTGGAAACCGCCTGTTTTCACCGCTAGCAGCCGGACATGGAACTGGTAGGGGACGCATTCCAAGGAATTGGGCGATTGGGCATCAGTGAGGTATTGATCTCGAGGGTGCAGCATGCTCGGCAGTGGTACCAAATCATTGATCTTGAACTTTTGAGCAAGGCGTTGGCCGGTGGGAGGATGACAGATGTGTTGTCATGGCTAGATAGGCCCTCAGCCTTCAGGCAAGGGTGGGAGCCCCAGTCCCTTTGACAGCAGCTTGGGTATTATTGGTACTAGCTTTGTACTGGATTCATATCACATCTCCATTGCTTGATACGACAATGAATCTTTTGAACCCTCGATCCTGGTTGTAATACTGCTGGCAATTTAGTCGCTGCTTTACTGCTCATTGCCAGGATACGTGCAATCATTTAAAGAGGCTAGATTTCACTACTTCTTTCGGCCTAGTCCCTCCCCCCCTAACTGCACCATGGTTAGGTAATCATTGCAGTATGAGTTTTTGTGAATCCGCCGACGTCCACACCTCCATCTCTTTTGTATGGTACAATTGGTGCTGAGTTCGCCGAAATGATACTCGCCGTGCTCGCCGCAGCCTTTAGTCTACCACCCATCATAAGAACGGGTAAGGCAATGCCGCGAACCGCAAATCATGACAAAATCCCATTAGCCATGTTCGGCAGACTAAATAGTCCCCATGGTTTGATCCTGTGCAGCGAAGTCGTTCTACAAAGTGAAATGCCACCCAGAGCACCGCAAAACGATTCGTATCCTTGACGTGATCAACCATCTGAATACAACAAAGTGAAGCATCTTCGTACCATTGCATTGAACTCAATCAGCCCCTCCAAACACACCAACATCTACCATGAAATCGTTTCAATGCCTCACAATTGACCGGCAAGGATGTGTCTTCATCATCACACTCAACATCCCACCTGAAAATCGACTGAATCTAGCCGCCTGTCGAGAGGTCACAGAAGCTTTTCACGAAATCCAGCGCGAACTCGGTCCTAGCACTGAGGGAGCCGTCATCACTCGAGGCAGCGATACTAAATATTGGTGCACGGTAGGGTTCGCCGAGTCTTGTTCTCTGAAATCACGAGGAGAAAGACGCTAACGAGGTTATGCCACACAGGGTCTTGATCTATATGAAGCAGACGAAAATCCATATGCCAATAGTGATGGATTCTTCCCTGTAAGTTGAGGGAGAGAAGGCATAGACACGTGTCTGGAGATGATCTGGCCACAAAAGCTAACAAGTCAACCTCACCACCGGAATAGATGCTCGCAACGATTCTCGACTTCCCATACCCAACCGTCGCGCTGATCACAGGCCATACAATTGGCGGTGCATGTCTATTTGCGCTAGCCCATGACTACCGCGTCATGAACTCGCAACGCGGATACTTCTACATGCCCCCCCTCATACTTGGTCTTCATTTCCAGGGCATCGGCGCTCTCCCACGACTCAAGCTTGCTCCCCATGTCGCTCGCAAACTGCTCATGCAGGCACATAAGTTCACTGCCACCCAGGCTCAACACGACGGTATAGTCGATGAGGCTGTTGGCCCCGATCAAATGTTGGATGCGGCTCTAGCTATCGCTCGCAAATGGGCACATACGGCTAAACAGAATGTCTATACTTTGATCCGCGAGGAACTCTACGGTGATGCAGTCTCCAAGTTTAAACTTATCAGTCATGTCCATGGGAGAATGACTTCGCGGCCGGCTGGTATCAAACTTTAGATTCTCTTACAGAGTTGAGAATGAGTGGATTCTGTTCAGCTATGGATCTAGGGCTAGAGTTTTGCGAGAATAGATATCCCATCATTACTCCCAAGCTCAGCTTCATCGAATCGGTAGTCGTGGTTCATGGCCAGATCGTTCATGGGATTACATGAACTGGCGCGGTAGTACAGATCTTCATAGACATGCCCGTCTGCTCGACCCAGGGCACTAGATTGCAGATATCAGTCAAAAAATGCGCATCCTGGTAGGGTTCAAATAACATACCTATCCAAAAGGAAATCGGGAATTGCCCATGCATCCACCAGACGTACCGCATGAGGCCGGATTTCTTGCATTAGTGCCAGGATTCGTGGCTCCAGTTGATCAATCTGGTCGCCCCCGAGTCCCGCGGCAGAGTCAAAGTCTCGTTGTTCGTTGCTGATGGTGTACAGGCCGAACAGTTCAAATAGATTCAAAAATACCTTTCCTTCCTTGGATTGAAGTGAGGTCCCGAAGTCTGCGTGGATGCCTTGTAGAAAATTGTGTACGAGAATGAATTGGGTATGTGCTAGGACATTGTCATCCGTTAGGTCGCTTCATTCCCTTGATGGTGGTCATGACTTACCGACGCTGAGCTTACGCATTTGGAGTAACAGAAATTCCCAAGGTTTCTTTTCCTTCTCGGCGCTTTCATATGCTTTGAAGGACTGTAAGATATTGTCAATTTGGGTCCTAATGTTGTAGAGTGTCGTAGCTAGCCACATACCAGATAGGCCGCTCGCCTAGCAAACGCTGCCACAATATCATCAGGCGTGGTCAACAAGTTGGTCTTGACGGTCTCCATCTTTGAATTCTTGTACTTGACCAGATTCTGTGCAGTGAGGAAATCAGGTACCTCTGACGGCGACTCAATCACCGTCTTGACCAATTTGATTAGCGCTTTGGCTGTCTGTTGGGTAATCATCCAGTTATCTCCTTCAACTGTCGGTCGAGACAGATAATCATTGTTCAAATTGATGAACCCTGACGCTCCGCCAAATCCATGGCCTCCAAGACTTCGTCGACATGTTTCGATTCCACCTGCTGCTATATCCGTGCACAGGCTTTTCAGCCCTGTAGTGGCTAGATGCAGTTCAGCAAGGAGTGAGAAATCGTCTCTCTCGTCTACATTCTGCCGGTTCTGATGGTATAGTGCGTGGATTGCCTTTGCGCTGTAGTGAAAGGCAAAGGCCGAGGCGAGTAAGGGAAAAAGGCGAATTTGCACAGTCGAGTAATCAAGAACGGCTGATTCTTCGTTGGTGGATGGAAGATTATGATGCTTCTTCGTCTTAAATCCCTGCTGTTCTCTGTTGAATTGACGTCGTATTGAGGTATATCTAATTGCAATCGTGACGGCTCTAGCTAGTGAAGTCCGTGCTTGCATGATGATGAGATATCTGATAAACGTCATGGCACCATATGCCACAGAAGGATTCGGCGAGGCTTCGAATTGATTCGTGTTGGGGTTGATGCGAGAGTATCTTGACAAGAGTGCTTCAAATGGTATCCTGCAAGGCGTGAGATAGGGGCACGTTAATAGGGAGCAAGCCAAGGTCATGAAGAGTTACCTGTGTTGGTTAAACAGCATGAACCCATTGTCCATTCCTGGATAACCATATTTTGGACCAATGTCACCCACCACGATACCTGGCAAGGGCTGTCTCGTCCGAGTATTCCGTATCTGGACAAAGAACGGTAAAACGCCACAGTATTGAAAGTCACTGCCTCTGGGAACGAGCAGCTGTGCGACAACGATGGCGTGCGTTGCGAGCTTACCCATGCCTCCATTCCACCATTTGCTCGCCGTGAGTGTTGGACTATGCAGGACAAATTCCTTTGTTTTTGGATCATAAGTCGCCACTGTCTCGAGGCCGCGTACATTGCTGCCGTGACCTAACTCGGTTTGTGCGTAACATCCTGTGATCTCCCACTTTTCGATGAGAGGCATCCATTTTGCTCGTTGCGCATCAGAGCCTTGTTCTCTGACAGTCACAGTGAACATGCCATTATGCAAGACATATGGATGGATGTCATCAACCAGATATTCTGCCATTTTGAAATCATCTTCGGACCATTTGTGCTCCAAAGTCATCCGACGAAGCGTCTTTGCCCGGAGCAATATCAGCTTGAACCTGTCGATTCGGGAGAGATTCAATTGCTGAGACTTGTTGAACAATGGATTGGACTCTATGAGCTGGAGAATGTGCGCTTGACGCACAAGGTAGTCTTCACCATAGATCGTCTTTGATAAACCTGCCACATTCAACGTTGACTTAGACCGCTCTGACTCCAAGATTGGATTGCCTGGCACCGCTGGCCGTAGATGTTTGACAAAATCTGGACTCGACATTGAGACTCGCTAGCTTTGAAATTAGAAAGTGAATGATGGATTCGAATTGAAATTAATAATAATGCCAGTATCAACAGGTGCCAATAAACGCTGTCGAAGTATCCATTGTGTTGTTCATGATTGACATAATCACGAGATCCAGATTAACAGTCGCGGTACCTTCGCCGGCAGGACATTACATTACAAGCGCTGACGCATATTCCGACACCTAAGTCGATCCTGTTTGATCCTGTATGCGTATGGTCATGGCGTGATTCGAACTATCTCCAGAATTGAACCTGTTCGGCGAGATCATCTGGTAGACCCACTTCAGTTTCCCCATGGGGCCGAGGGCCTGCTTTTCAGTGGTTTCGCCGAGACATATCGGCTACCAGTTGCGGCGCACGGGACTCGCCACTCATTAACACACACCTCTGTGGACAAGACGACCTTTGTGAATCATGTTGTGCCATTCCTGTTGATACGAAAATAGCCATAGAAAGCCGTCCAGTAGCCCGACCTGAAATATTCTGGGCCTGAGTCCGCCGAAATAGAGCGGGGCAGATCATGTACTTTGATAAATGCACATCTCATTGATTCTCCTCTGTGAGGGCCAAACGCTTAAGTATACTATAGGTCGAATGACTCAATGGTGAGCTTCGAAAACGAATCTACAGTTCTTGTCTAGCAGGTAGTAAACACCCACAGAAGAGCCCAGCATGATCGCCAGGACAGGAGTGTCACATCCTGCTGATGGTCACTATACGGTTACGGAACAGCCTTTGGGGACACCACGGCAGCTTAAAGTCGTCACCATTGGAGCCGGTGCTGCTGGTTTGAATTTTGCACGCCATGTCGAGCTTCAAATGGAGAATGTCGACCTCGTCATATACGAGAAGAATGCAGATGTGGGAGGTACCTGGTTTGAAAACAAGTATGCAAGTCTTAGCAGTCGAAATACTTCGCTGATTATGTCACAGATATCCTGGATGTACGTGCGATCTTCCGTCTCACAATTACCAGTTTACTTGGGAGCCAAACCCTGAATGGAGCAAGTTGTAAGTCTCACATACTGTTAAAACGATCTATAAAGTCTAACACTGTCTAGCTACTCGCCACAGCCCGAGATCTTGCAATATTTTCAAGGTGTTGCAAAGAAATATAGCCTCTACCGATACATCAAACTGAAGCATATCATAACTGGGGCCATTTGGGAAGAGGAAGATTGCGTCTGGAGACTAAATGTCAAAGATCTCGAAACAGGTAATGAGTTCGACGATTGGTGCCACTTTTTGATCAATGGTTCGGGGATCTTGAAGTAAGTTCTACGCAGAGAAGGGAGGCAACCTGACTGACCATGTCTCAGTAATTGGAAATGGCCCGACATCCCCGGTCTTCATTCTTTCAGTGGTCCTCTGATGCACAGTGCTTCATGGCAATCAGGGGTTGATTTCACCAACAAGACTGTCGCAGTACTGGGCTGTGGATCCTCGGGCGTTCAAATTGTTCCTGCAATACTACCAGGTTAGCTTGTCTTAGAAAGAGATTTGTTTCTCAATGCTGATCTGTTCGAAGTTGTGAAGGACATTGTCACGTTCATTAGATCTCCGACATGGATTACCGCTGGGTTTGCGCAGAGCAAAGCAGGTCCAGGCGGTGCAAATTTTGAATGTAGGGCTCCTGTGCTCCCTCACAACTTGCCTGATTGCTGATACCCTCCATATAGTCTCTGAAGACCAGAAACGTCAGTTCCGGGAACAGCAAGACGTCTACATGAAGTATCGGAAAGAAGTTGAAAACGAACTTAATCGGCGTTTCCCACTGGTAAGTCGACATAGATGGGTAAGCAGAGAAATTTGGCTGATCTTCATCTAGCTTATGAAGGACACGCCAGAGCAGGCTGAGGCACGAAGATATTCAGAGAATGAGATGGCCTTGAAATTGAGGAACAACAAAGAACTGCTGGAAAAGCTGATTCCAGATTTTGCTGTTGGGTGCCGCCGCCCGACGCCAGGAAACGGATATCTCGAGGCCTTGACCAGCCCGAACGTGCGCGTCGTGACAGACGAGATCCAAGAAGTCGTCCCAGAAGGCATCGTGCTCAAAACTGGTGAAGTACTCAAAGTTGACATCTTCGTCTGCGCGACAGGGTTTGATATCTCATTCTGTCCCCGGTTTCCTCTCATTGGCCGGAATAAGCACTCTTTGAGCGACCAGTGGGCAGAAAAGCCGGAGGCATACCTTTCACTAGCTGCTGAGAACTTCCCAAATTATTTCAGTATGTTATCTACCTCGCAAAGTTATCGTGTTGGCGGACTAACATACATGCTTAGTGTTTTTGGGCCCTAATGCTCCCATCGGACATGGTTCGGTCATTCCCATTCTCGAACATGCCACAAAGTATATCATCAACGTCCTGAAGAAGGTCCAAACACAGAATATCAAATCACTTGCGCCACAAGCAAGAGCTGTGAGAGACTTCAATGAACATACCCCTATCTTCATGGAGCGAACTGCTTGGTCAACTAAGTGCCGTAGCTGGTTTAAGAACGGCACCATCGACGGACCTATCACGGCTCTTCATCCTGGAAGCCGCATTCACTGGTTCCATATGCTTGATGACCCGAGATATGAAGACTATGATTACACCTATTTCTCAAACAACAGGTTCCAGTATCTAGGTAATGGATTTTCGACGAGGGAAGCACCAGACAAAGACGTTGCCTGGTACTTTGATAACCCAGAAGAGGGCTATCGACAATATTGAAGTAGTGAAGTGTTACTTTAAGAGACTATATTTTCGTAGTTTGGCGAAATTCTACCAGATTTGATCCCCCTGTGCAATTTCCAAGTGCCTTGGAAACACAGTCACTACAGATGATCAACACAAATACCTTCAATGACTATTCTCTTAGCCTAAGTTGATGGCTGTAGACCTAGGCAGAACACCATGCCGAAAAACAACCTGCATGGACCTGCAGATTCTCAGAATTCCTAGAGCCGACTCGCATTTTCTTTCTAATTCGGCGAAAATGCTTTGGGGCCGAGATACATGGCTCGTCATACCCACTGCGGAGGCTGGGACATTTGATGGCGGCCACTCAGAGTCTTTTCCGTCCAGGATGCAATGCAATTGAGGATTAAAGTGAATGCAAAGAAGGAGATATTGTCGTAGGTAGTCCTCGAGTGATGGCTCTCTACAACGCTCGTTGGATCGATCTGATATTGAAGCATCATGGACCAGAACAAAGGCTTACAAGATTTCACGCCGAGTCGTTGGGATCCAGCAGCGCTACCCAACCTTCCCATCTTCAACAGACTTGTTAACCATGCTCATTTGCGAAACACCGTCTGCGTACGAGATGTCGACGCCAGCATCTCCATGACTCATCATCAATTACTAACAGGTGTTGTAAATCTTCGAAACGATATCCATGGCAATCCTGCCTTCAGCCTTGATAGAACAGACCATGAAGAATCTGATGTCAGTATCGGTCTGCTCGCGCCTGGAGGATGTCAATTCGCGGTCGGCTTCTTGGCTACTTTGGCGTTGGGCGCAGTGTGTGTCCCACTTAGTGAGCAACCTTAGAATTCCAATCCTCAGAGCTAATGGAGAGGGCAGGTACAGCATATCCTCAACAGGAGTTAAGCTACTTTGTGCAAAAGGCCCGGATCGCGTTTCTTCTCGTACATCACGATTGTGTCGGAAAAGTCAGAGACTTGAGATTGTATATGAAGGAGAAACACGACATCGACCTCTACTACTTGTGTCTGAAGGATTACATCTTGCAACCACTCATTCCTCTGAGTACTATCATCATATCATCACAGCAACCGCCGGATGAAAGCCGTGCTGGCCTAGTGATCTTCACCTCAGGCACCAGTGGCCCACCAAAAGGAGCTGTGTTAAGACGGCGGACACTTGGGATAGGGGTTCAGAATGTGATCGATCTTTACAGCATTGAGGCTACCGATGTCATCATGCATTGCCTCCCTGTGCATCATGCAACGGGCATTCTGGTGACTTTCCTGCCCTTTATCACAGCCGGTGGGTGCGTTGAATTTCACCACAAATTCGATGCTGTCAAGACATGGGAACGATGGGCTCGGGGAGATGTCACCTATTTCTCAGGAGTTCCAACAATATACAGTCGGCTTGTCGCTACATACAAACGGAACTTCGAAATCAAGGAAAAATCGCTGGTGGAGTCGTACAAAGGAGCAGCCGCAAGATTCAAGGGCTTTTTATGCGGAACATCATCGCCCAACGCTCGGCTCCGTGATGAATGGAAGTTGTTGACAGGTAAACGACTGATCGAGCGGTATGGTGCTTCCGAGATTGGTATTGTTTTCTCGATACCGCTCAAGAACAACTCCGCGGTTCCTATTGTTAGTCTTCTTAACCATTCTGACCCCGTGAGAAACCTCCTAGTCTGACAATGTCAATAGGGTTCAGCCGGAAGAACGGCTCCTGGTGTGGATATGAAGCTGTCCAGCTATCCAGAAGGAGAGATTATGGTTAGACGACCTGACATGCTGTCAGAGTGAGACTGCGACCATGTTGGTTCTAAAACTCATCACTGACTTATCAATATAGGTACTTGTATAATCCTGATGCTACACGCAAAGCCCTCGATAATGACGGCTATTTTCGAACTGGAGATCTTGCACGGGTTGAAGGGGAACACTATTTCATACTGGGGCGCATGTCCACAGACAGTACGTTGCTTCAAAGCTGTGAACCAAGCAAAGACCGTTCGCGTTAACAAGCATAGTTCTGAAATCTGGTGGCTACAAGATTTCTGCCCTAGATGTGGAAAGAGAAATCCTGGACCAAGATTATGTTGATGAGGCTATTGTAGTTGGCATGGACGATGAAGAGTTCGGACAGCGTGTTGCTGCCGCGATAGTATTGAAGAAGGTATGTTCAATGCCTTGTTAAGCCTATCCTAAACCTTTGAGTGAAGTACTAACATGGCTTCAAGGACGTGAAATTGAGCATTGACAGACTCCGTAAAGATTTGAGCCATAAGTTGGCACGATATAAGCTGCCTACCGTCCTCCGTGTCGTGCAGCAAATGCCCAAAACTCCACTAGGCAAGATCTCAAAGGCGAAAGTGACCCAGGACTTTTTCGGACCTGGGCGAAAAGAAGGTCTCCAGATATGGCAGCCGCAGCATGTCAAGTCACGTCTTTGATTGAGATAGATAGAATCATAAATATTGCTACGATGCTCCTTTGCATTGGATATATTGCCACCGGCCTTTGGCGATGTGCTTAAGTGACCCAGTATAGTAGTTCCGTAATTCCGATATTGTCTGCGTGTTGTTCCTTAAGAACTTGGAAGTTCCCCACCCCCATCCCGTTCCCCAGGTTTAACTGTTCCCCCTCATCTCCCTTTCAAGACTTCCCTCGCGTCTCAACGTCTAGATCAAGAATGCAAAATGAACAGCAGTGTCAACCGCGAATCAATGTCAGCATCAACCTCAGCAGAGTCACAACGAGCTTCCTCGCAGCCACGCCGCCGGAAAATCGCTTGTAGAACATGCCATGCCCGTCGTGTCCGATGCGATGCCACTGCCGGCAATCCTTGCTCAAACTGTCAGGCTGCTGGCAAACGATGTATTTTGATCGAGAAGAAGGCCAAGGTGAGGTGCGGATATATCCAACTAGATTAAGAAGACAAAGGAAGCTGACTGTTCCATGTCTAGAACTGGACAGCCTTCGGTCCAGTCGTTATATCCGTCACAATCTAGACAGGCCAGTACCTGCTCAACGGATGGCGATCATGTCATCTCAGAGACTACACAAGGTTCGGAAACTCTGTGGGCCAAATTAGCAGAATCGAATTCCTGTACACCCAGCAAGGTCGGAACCACCGACGTCTACATGTCGGAGCCTTTCAATCTTGCTTACATTATCAAAGAGTCATGGCCTGTTGGCCACAAGAGTCTTCCAAATTCCAGCCAGATGCACTTCCCAATGCCACCACTCGGAAACAATAAAGATGACGAATCCCCTCACGATGGTCGTGCAAGCGTTCGCGGCCCTGAACACGATCCCAGCAATGGCTCCAACCAATACACTTTGGCAAGACAAACCCATGATGCCCTGGTGCAGACTTACTTTGACGTATGCCATCCTGCGTTTCCCATACTCGACAAGGGCGAATTCCTCGCATCTCTCGAGAATGACAATGCATCACCTCTACTATTGCAGGGTGTTTACCTGGTGGCGGCTTCTCATTGCGAGGAGAAGGTCATCCTATCCTCAGGGTGGTCCTCAAAGCACCAGGCCAAGCTGACCTTTTCCCGCCGAGCCGAGAAGATCTACAACAGCAACAATGAATCCAATACTGTCACCTTGATACAAGCATTGTTTTTGATGAGCTTCTGGTGGGGCGGCCTTCTAGACCAGAAAGATACCTGGCATTGGCTTGGTTGTTCCATCAGGTTTGCACAAGCGAGGGGCATGCATAGAACGTTGGTCAACACAATCCAGTTACAACTCAAACATGACTCGCTGACTTTACAAAGAACTAAGTGCTCAAACCTCAGCCCTCGCAACAGAAGCCTGTGGAAGCGGATCTGGTGGTCTCTTTATGTAAGACTTCGGGAATGGGACGGAGAAACAGTCATCTAAAAGCTTTCAGATTCGCGATCGCCATCTTTCGGCTGCCCTTGGGCGTCCCATGCACATATGTGACGATGATTGCGATGTCGAACTCCCAGACACGTCTGACTTCCAAGACACCCAGCCCAAGGATGCAGCTTCCGAAGATGGATCTCCAGCCCAAATTCTTTACTTCATTGAAATGAGCAAATTGGCGATAATATGTAAGGTTTCGATGTCTACTACTTCGACGAAGACCACTCTGACATAAGATGGACAGCGGGGCAAGTTCTCAAGAGCACATTCTCCGTCAAGAAAGTCGGCTTAAGTCTTTCGGCTTTGGCTGAGGCACTTCGATCATGGGAATCTCAGCTCCCAATCGATATGATATACCAAGAATCTGCCCCAATGACGCTATCCGCCTTTTGGGCCAACATGTTGCACCATGCGTACAAGTTAGCTGTTTCCTTTCCCACCAGATTTTCGGGTTTCTAATGTCTTTATAGTGGCTGTGTCATCTTACTGTATCGCCCATTTCTTGCTACTCCTGGACCGCTAAAAGAGCAAAGCCACGACTGGGAGATATTAGCGGCAGCGAATAAGATTTCGCGATTAATTGAAGACCTGCTTGCGTCGGACAGATTGCCCCACGTTCAACTACATGTGTAAGTTTCCTCCCTGGCCTTTCGCAAGCCCTTGGGCTCAGCGAGGCTACGATCGTACCTCCTTGTGGCTTATTCCATTGTTCGCAGCATCGCAAGCCTTTTCGCGGCACTATCTGTTCATTACATTGTGATGCGAAGATCGCAGAAGGCTGTCACAAAAAAGGTCGTGGAACTACGAGCACGCTCTTGCATGCTGGGTCTCAGCGAATGTGAACAGTCCTGGTCAGTAGCTGGATGGATCCTTCGTGTCATTCAACAAGTTATGGGCGATAAGTCGCTTTGCAACCCCGAGAGATCTGTCAATCACTCTATCACGCTGGCAGACTCCTCTCACCTGTCGCAAAGCAATCTTACTGCAGGTGAAACTACTGCCCCCTACCCAGCCAGCTCACAACCTGACATGGGCGTTGACTCCGTTCCTTTTGCCTATTCGGCTGGATTGGCTGGTATGAGCAACGGACAGGTCAATGGCAACTACGATGGAGAACAAGAGTCATCCTTGATGGACATCCACGACTTCAACGGCAGTGCTTTCATGCCACAAGACCTCCCAAGACAGTCTGATCTGGTTCCCGAATTGACGCCATGGAATTTCCTCGACTTGGAACCAGATGTCATGTCCTCGCTTTCTGACTTGAACTTCATCATTAATTCACATCTATAGTACTGCAAGAGCTCCGGATCCTCTTTGAAACAATCGGCATTATCTATGACGACTAGTGCATCAGTCATTCATGGTACAAGGGACTCCGCGGGAAAGTCGCAAAATACTCAGGATCATGTCCCAACAAGACCTTCGCTTTCTTTCTAGCCACTAGTTGCCTCACAAGGGTCCTGTTGCGATGCCAATGATTGAAATCTCGCATCAAGCTGCCGTGGGGCCAGCCAAGTTCATAGTTCTCTTTGACATGGAACATGTCTCCAGTCATGACAATAGTGCCTGTAACAGGGAGCTGCAGCTCCATGATAATGGAGCCCTCGGTATGACCAGAACACCGGTGCAGAGTGACACCGCGCCAGATCTCGAAAGTGTCTGTGTTGAAGGTCTTCCAGTTTAGGCGCTTCAACTGGAGATATTCTGGGAGATACAGAGTTCTCTCTATCCCAGTGGCGCAAGTCCAGAAGGCATTCTTCAGCTCGGCCTCGTGGCACCAGATCTCAACGGCTACGGAGAGATCAGCTACATTATACAGGAGGGTTATGTTTCAATCAGGCTCACTCACGCGTGTCGAAAAAGTTCTCCAGACCGCCAGCATGGTCCATGTGCAAATGACTCATGACAATAGCTTTAACATCGCCGATTTTGCCGGCTCCGCTGGCATGAATGGCCTCTGCAAGACCGTGGACTTCTTTTTGCCATGTTCGCGGGGTACACTCGACGACATGCTTGTCCCAATTCGCAATCACATCCTCGGCAGAACCAGTGTCGTATAGAATCAGACCCACATCCGGGTGATAGATGAGAGCAGCAATCATTGTCAGGTCGCGACGGTTCGGCGCTTGGATGGGCGCATTGTATGGCCGTGTGTTGGAGCCTGCTAGAATGCCTGACGTGTCTGTGTTGAGATTTCCTAGATCGAGAACCTAGTTGATTTAGTCAGATAGTTGATCTTTTGGTTGTGGACGCCCAAGGCTCGTTCTGCTGGGCACTTTACTCGTGAGCCTTGACATATTGCAAATTGATGGCTTGAACGAGATATATGGCTGTAAATAATGATGGACCTTACCCATAGTTTGGAACCCTCGGGCATTGAGGACGATGAGAAAGAGGAGCCTGCCATTGGAAAGGTGCCAACGAATGTCAATGCTATGTAACAGCTCAAATCATTCTTTTGGACAGAGATGACCGTGAGAAGTGATGAGAGGACTCTTGAATGGTGCAGTACATATCATTCAGAGATCAAGACCATGCACTCGACCTGTGCCGCTCCTAAGCCCCACTGTGAAACTCTTTCTATGTAATAGTGTATGGATGTAATGCTGGGCTCACTGCGAATCTGTCGCCGAATTCGCCTCTTAGGTCGGCAATCGTAATAACAAATCCTACGACTGCATCTCTATGCCTAGTACCGACATCTTTGGGAAGTGCCGAATCCTCCCAGCTGCTACGTGTGGTAAATTCTGTGCCGTTCCTTGGCCTGAGATACGGTAAGACGGCAACATGGTGATTTTTATCTACATTCAAGCGCTCCAACCACCGTCGATGGGGTAAACAGCACCAGTAATGAAGCGACTTTCATCGCCCAACAAGAAGGCCACAAATGCCGCAATCTCTTCAGGTTCACCCTTTCTCCCTAGAGGGGTGGGAAGGCTCCTAGCCGACCCAAGATTTTGACTTTCGAGGACATGGACCATAGGAGTATTGGTAGTTCCTCTAGACTTGGTGATTAGTTTCTTGGAGCGAGAACAAGACAGATATTGGGTGTGTCGGGAGTGGCAGAAGCAGTAGAAGGAGAGTGATGGAGCAATACTTACGGAGCGATGACATTGACCCTCACGCCACGAGAACCAGCACTCTTTGCAGCGGATCTTGATAGTCCCAGAACGGCATGCTTGCTGGCAGCATAGGCCGGATTGTTCGCAGAACCACGAATGGAAAGGATACTTCCGACGTTGACGATGCTGCCGCCGTCGACTATAACCTGGAGTTCCTTTTTGAGGCTGTTGAACGTTCCTGTGGCGTTGACGCCCATGATGAGCTCCCATTCTTCAAGACTGAGCTCCTCGACTGAATGCTTGTAAGCGTTCTTCCCCAGGACACCGGCCATATTAACAGCCCCGTCCAGCTTGCCATACTCGGCAACGGCGGCATCGATGAACGCATTGACTTGGTCTGGATTCCGCACATCCGTAACTCGAGTGACCACTTTACCACCTTGTGATCGAATCGTCGTTGCAATCTCGTCTAGTCCGGCCTGGTT